ACCTTGTTGAAATATCTAGATGACAAGAACAGTTAACACAGATATTCAACTAGGCCGCGCTGAGTTATGTCTGCGATTCCTAGCTCACATAAAAATCTAAATAATTCTAATGATCACAGCACTACTAACGGGACGCCGCAGAAAAAGAAAAGCAAGCATTAAGTCTGTTGATCATAAATCCCCATGAATGTTTAAGCGTTTGAAAACGAACAGACAAAGTTATGCTGGGCAGAGACGGATGGTGAATAGAAGCTGTATCCACAATACATGTCCCATCCTATGAGACTAATCAGTTGAATGTATCTGTATTCGAGAGTTGATGTTCAGTCTGCGACTAGAACGCAGTGCTATATGCGTCAAACGCTCTCGCATTATCCACCTAGCTACTGAGTCCAGGTAGCCACTGACTGGAGTGACAGGGTGGACTTCAATTCAGCATAAAAGTGGATGAAATGAAATTCATCATGGCTTGCAGATAGAGTGGGCATAGAACATGTATCACCTCTCGCGCATTGCCTTAACTAGCTAGTTTGATAACTCCAGCTCTGAGTTCCCATCTTACATCTACTATTACAGTTTAAGTTGTTGGCTACTAGACAAAATCTAAGAAATCTCGTGTTCAGTTTATTCGGTCGTACCTTCTGAAACCTGAATAATTTCCGTTTCAACCTTTTAATCGCTTGTAAATACTGTGAACGACATCGGAAACGCAGGACTCTCGAAAACGACTCATTCTTTAAACTCGCAGTAGTGTAGGAAGCACTGTATTCGTTGTTCACCATCTGACACCCTCAGGGGCATATATATTCAAAACTGTCGGGAAAACCTTCAGTATAACTCCTATTCTTCATTAACGCATTTTATTCCTGCCTTCTGGAGGTCGTATCCCATCACTATCTGGCTGTACTTAGCATTTTTTAAAAATCTGGTTATACTCCATAAATTCACTAATCTGATCGGTGTAACTGAGTTTACTAATATTACTAAATTCGGAAACCTTAGTTGAAAGTGTACTAGAACTTACTTATGTTGTAGCAGGAAGGAGCTTCTTTAGAACCTTCTCTCCGTCAAACAAGTGTCTCAGGATATGCTGTATCGAAGTGAATTGATTTTCAACATACAATTCTTGAAGTTGGACACATTATAAATGAGAGGATTATTATTAGCCGTCAAGCTTTTAGATAAGGTCAATAAGGGTTAACGCAGAATTGTTAATGGAAAAGGAACTGTTCAACCGTGCAGATATAGTCACTCGATGAATCCTCTTTGTCTTTACATCAAATATATTGTTCGGTCTCCAGGTAAAAAGTGTTTCTCAAAAGTTATTGCAAATAACTGTCCACTGTCATGGCAGAATGTGTCAGTACAGGCGATGACATAACTTCGACGTAAGCGCTTGAATGGTAAGCAGTTCTGTTATAGCAAAGTCACAGTATCGCACTGGGTCCAATAATCGAGTATCAAAGATATGTGGTTGGCGTCCAATAACGATTGACTATGATCGCCACAACAGGAAGATTACGTGCCAGATATAGAGTTGTATCCCTCCGTAAACCGTAAATCAGAAGGCAGTTGACGAATGCAGTGAGATATGTTTGTTGGCAGTCTCGTGGTACCAAATGCATACTGAGGTCGTGCCAAAGTTTACCAGCTGAACTACTGAGTATAAGCGAGTTCGTGCAAGGTCACAGAAAACAGAGGGATGTATGTGTTTTGTGCACTTAAACAAAGAGTTACAGTAAAATAATCACTTGTACAACTGGTCATAATAGTAATGGTTTCCATTATAATAATCGCGTTCTCGTCATAGTGGCAGGTCACTACAGATATTTGCACCAATATCAAACTACATTTAGGTCTAATAACAAAACTGGTCAGAATATGTCCTTTACTTACTTTAAAAGCTTCTTAGAAGTTCATGAATGTTCCGTCGACAAGCAAACCATTATCTAGGACTTTTGTGCAGTTCTAATTCGAAATTAAGAAGCTGATCGAGGAGACAGATATGCTCAAATTCGCAAAACCGTCAAAGCGTTTGTTCCTCGGGTTCTGTGTTCAGGTAGCTGGTATGATCTATTGGTTATGATGAGGTATGTTTTTTGTTATGCTCCCTTATGATATGTATACAGTCAGGATAGGTGGTCTTACAAAAACCCAGCACACTGAAAGGATGAAAAAGGTTCTCTACTGAAACTATAGTCAAGAAACCATCTGTTTATAGCTATCATCAACTTTAAATATAAAAAGTAACATTATTTCACAAAGTGACTCTGAATGTTGACTCAACCATGAGGATGAACAAAGGATATCATTGACCGGCCGTCTCTAAATAGGCTTGACATAAGACTGTTACTCACTCTGGCCAACATGTTTAGACTCTGATCACGACCTTTCGCCACTAATTGTTTACTATTTTCTTAAGAAAGGAAAAAAGAGCATCCTGCTCAGTTCCGCCTAATAATGAAAAAATACAGTTTGTTTCCTGAACAACTAGAATACAATAGTGTCTGACGTGAGGCAGGTTATCACCGAAGACAGTGTAGGACGGTCGTGAAATATTAAGGATTGGTTTGAACCGAACATTAGTACCGTTGGATGTCAGCCCAACGGTTTACAGGTTAAGCGTCCGCGCGTGATATCGAAGTTTCTGGTTTCATATCCCGTGTGTGGGATCGTGGATGCACATCGCTGAGGAGTCCCGTACTAGAACAAAACCGCCATCCGGTGCTTGCATATTTTCCATGGTGGTCTAACATTAATCCATTTGTAGTCTTAATCAATACTAGAGAAGCAGCTACTGACAGGTATTGAAATGTCACGTTAGTGAGGCTGTATCCCAAATAAACATTACCACGACCTAATTCCAAACTAAACGAATGTAGCGATTGGTGCGTCTCTCCAAGTGACAGATAAACGTTCTTTCGGATATGAACTTTTCGGAACAGCTGGGACTGTAAGGTGAAATGGACCCTCAAATCATAGTAAATTTGATGATACTATAGCTAGTCTAAGGAGAGGAATAGCAGCAGGCCTTGATAAATTAACCTCATAAGGTTTTGCGGGTGGTCGATCAATTCAAGCAGTTGTATTGACTGAGATGTGAGCTAGAATCTGATACCAATAGATGATCGTTTCAATTTATAAGGCAAACATTCCCTACTGACAGCCATATCGAAATTAGTTTGCCCAATATAATGTCTACAATATAAACTTCTATGTACATCCATCGCTTAACTTTGAATCGCGAAAGAAAAACTGGAAAAACCCATGCTGATTTCAGACGTGAAGCTGTATGTACTGATCAAACATTGGCTCTTCTTCCGACTATAACAATATTGCTTGACATTAAGACAGCATTCACATCTACTGATCGACAAGTTTCGTAGCAATGTCCTACAGTAAGAGGCATACCAAAGAAGTAATTCAACCTTGTATAGACTCACTATTAAAACGTTTCCCGTCGAGCTGGAGCTTATGGTGAACTGTTATCAGGATTATTCTTGTCTGGAGAAATCTCGACACGAATTCAGAAAGCCCGGTTGACGTTTGCAAACTTGCATAACATGTGGTTTGTGTTGGTTATTCCCCTTCCAAATAAAGAACGAGTAAACCAACCGACGTTTTGCACCATCCTACCTTGTACCTGTGAAACGTGACCTCTAAGAATAGAGAATATACCATGTTACTAGTACTCTGTTACAGATGCCTTTAAAGTATTCCTCGTGTATGTTCGGACCAAAGTTGGTTACTCTGAGGCTAGACACACACATAATTAGGCACAGATGGCAAACCGATTGGTAAAGCAGTCTATGTTTATGATGTGAGATAGTTAGAACGTATCCTACGTATGGTCATCCACCGAAGACCTCGACGTGCAATGATGCTTCGTGTAGGAATAGGTTGGAAGAAAAGTTAGTGGTAAAACAAAATGTGAAATCAGATTGAGAAATGACTGACTGATAGGATGAGCCGTGTAGTAGGTGTATACTTCTTGATTATGATCTATGCGACCAACCCAGCTAAATGTTCAAAACACTGGGAGTCATGGCTCAAAATCCCTCGTAGTTGTACAGGCAGATTTACAGTTTGTCTCCCTTTAGACCTCATACTTGTTCTCCCTCCCGGCATGCAAGGTCGTTGGTGCTCACTACTGAATCTTATGTTAGGATGAATTGAACGTCCAGTTCCCTCAGTTTTTCAGTGGTGGTCTAAGATTGGTCGATTCATGATATCAGTGAAGCAAAGTTAAATACTCAAAGATAACTTGGAAGAATCCCATAATTTCATAACTGCAGATAATTTGTATCTTACATCAGCCTTATTCGACGTGAAAACACTACTCACAACCTAAACTTATGATTGAAGTTGAAATTAAATGTTGTTCACACGCTGTTCATTTAAATTTTCAAGTTAAAATATTCTTAGGTAATTTGTATTAATAACGTCAACTGATTCAGTGATCGAAGTCTACCTCATCTTTTCATAATACTTATTAAAAGCATTGGCGTTTACTCACATCAACGTCTATACGTTCATAAACACAGAATAGACTGGAGTGAAGACCAACCCTGAGGTGCAAGTGTATCCAGCTGACGAGTCCTAAACAGGACGGGGCGCACATCCTGGGTTTCACTGCTAGGTGTCATCTATCTCTGCTTGTGACTTACTGGCAATACCGAGAAAATTCGCACAGGATACACGTCTGTCGAAACAGGCTGACCAGTTTCAGTCCTAAACATTAATGAGGATCCAAAAAGCCAGTATATATGAACCGAAAACATGCTATGTTCTTGAATAAACAGTTGTAATTCTTAATGTTTTAGTTCTTTTCGCTTGTATAGTTCGATACCACTTCAAAACCATTAGTTTACCTATGTTACACCTTGTTGTATATATATATATATATATGAAACGGAAAATGAAGAGAACTAGATGAATTAAGGAAAGAACTCGTAAAATTATGATTGTTTCTTTATATTACAGTTTTTCTATTCAACGTTTCATGAAGGACAATTACAATCACTGATAAGTTTGTCTACCATTTCACCTAACAATTGTATACCAGGTGAACAATTATTAGTTTCTTTTATATGGATAGAATTATTGTTATCACTAACAATATTGAATTGTTCTGCATTGAAAACCATCTGGTCAAAGGATTCACGTAATTTCTGAGCTAATTCACGTCCAATTCGATTATATTCTGATAGGACTTCATCAATAACATCGACGAGCTTATAGTGCGTTTTTGATGAAGATAAAGAAAGTAGCAGAGCATCTGCAAATGTTGGTTCATTTAAACCATATTCTGAATAGTATGGAATAACTGTTTGGTGTCTATACATATTGTTTTTCATACATTGCATTTCCTTTTTTATAGAGCAATATGCGTCAGTGGTTTGATTTGTAGACTTAAAGCAAAAAAACAAAACAAACGTAACAAAGCAGAATTATGAAATTGCATTTTTACGAAAAAAGTCATGGATATCGATATCTTATTAACTACTATGTTAGACGTAAACTATACACAGCTAATTGTTTAAGATACAAACGTTTATTAATAAAATATGATTAATAGTTACTTATTAGGGTATACAGAGTCAGACCAATAAATCGCAGATTTCAATCATGTCCTACATTTCCCAGTTATGATAAGCTAGTTAGGAGCACTACTAGCCCATATACAAAAGGCTTATAGTTGAATACATAAACTTGTACTTCATAAATATTTCACCGGTTTGTAGGTAAGTGATCAGAACACCGTAGAATTTTTACTTAGCTTTTCCTCTCAGTTTAAAAGGACGTTGATTAGCCTAGCTTGGTTTGATATACGATTGGACTGGAGATTCAGTTAATTTGCTATTATCAATCCGTTTAGAACGACACATAGTGGTCACCAAAATCAAGATAAGTATGGTGTGCATCAGGGTTTGGGGAGAATGCGGATAAATACTTAAACAGGAGTAGTAGTCTTACATCTATCCATCTGAAACTAGTTATCTTTGCAATTTTTCTAGTTTAATAATTAAAAACACGAAGTCCAGCGAATATATATACATATACATAAATATTGGTACAAAGAAGCATCACATACATATGCGCCACACAAATCTCTTTTGATTTTTGTGAGGGCTGTGATGCTGCTCAGGTGCCCAAACTGAAGCAGGTGGTTTTCTTAAAAGGCCACACCCGGAGCCTTTGATCTAAAGATCTGATCCACAAGAGAGTGGAGCATCGTAAGGAGATGCAGTCCCATGATAGCCGGTGATCAACAATAGGTTCATACGCCATTTGTTCCATCAGGATCCTGAAGCCCATGCGTACCATTGGTTTGGAATCAGGATTTTTCAACTCCCCTAGGTGGACTTTCCGTGTCCACCAACCCGGTTAAAGCGCCGGACATTCGCTTTTCGTCCTCTCAATTTCGTAAACAACAGTAATGCCACGAGAAGGCAGTGAGTAGAACTTCCCTGGCAGAGGCCGTATGCGCGTGGCCATGTAAGAGCATTTCGAGAGGGAGAGCGGACTCTCCCCGCTCTCGGCCGTATCAGGGCATTTTGGGGGCATATATATATATATATATATATATATATATATATATATAATTCCGTGAGGATGTATCAACATTGAATAAACATGATGATGTAATAAGAAGGATATAATACTAAATTACATAGTGGACATAATAATAATGAAATATTATGTGTGTGTACAGGTAAAAATCCTTGTAAAATAATTGCGTCAACAACGGATTCTAGTGTGAATGGAGTAAAGCAATTAAAATGTTTTTGTCACAATAATTAAAGGTAATAGATAGGTTGAATAAAATGAAGCGATATCAGAAACAATTATAAATAAAATCATGGGGATATGGGGAATAATTAAAAAATTGAATACTTCCATATACGAAATAAAATGATAATAATGACGATAGTTTATGGTGACGATAAAGGTAAGACGTACTTCATTTGTACGCACAGTTCTAGCTTCATCTCGTGGATGGCAAGAGATTCGGCCGTTTTAAGGAGATGAATATGAAGAAAACTTGGTAGATTTCGGAGAATACTGTACGTAAACTTAAAATAATTTAATGAATCAGTGGAGCGACTACAATTGATTAAATATTCATGAATAAAACTAACTGCTTTTCTCTCATTTTTATAAAACCACACTGGAAAATGTTCTCGTAACCGAGTTGAAAGCAAACTCTGACTACGGTCTACAAACCTTTTTAATTATCTTATATCATTCACATTAGAATCCGTTGTAAACGTATTAACTTTACAAGGATTTTTACCTGTACACACACATAATTTTTCATTGCTATGATACACACTATGTCATTTAGCATTACAGCCTTCCTATTACATCATCGTTTTTATTCATTGTCCATATGTCCTCATGAAATAAATATTTACAAGTTCATACACAAACGATCGTACAGCTTAACAATGAAATCATTCAGTGTAGATATATACACAAATTGCCCCCAAATGCCCTGGTACGGCCGAGAGTGGGGAGAGTCTACTCTCCCTCTCGAAATGCTCTCACATGCCCAGCAAATATATAGCCTCTGCCAGGGAAGTCCTACTCACTACCTTCTCGTGGTGGGGGTGTGGTTTACGAAAGTGAGAGGACGAAAAGCGAATGTCCGGCGCTATATTCATATCTTATGAAATATCAACCCAGCCGAGTAATTTTCAACAGTGAAAATTGTAACTTCTTTAACAATTCGATCTTGCCTGTAAACCGGCATGCCTCATGTAACAATCTGTTATTTGAGAATAAATTATTATTATTATAACCGGATTGGTGGACACGGAGGGTCCACCTAGGGGAGTTGGAAAACCCTGATTCCAAACCAATGGTGCACATGGGCTCCAGTATCCTGATGGAACGAATGGCGGAAGAACCTGTCATTGGTCAACGGCAACCATGGGACTGCATCTCCTCACGATGCTCCACTGCCTTGTGGATCAGACCTTTAGGTCAAAGGCTCGGGGTGTGGTCCCCTAAGAAAACCACCTGCTTCGGTTTGGGCACCCGGGCAGTATCACAGCCCACACACAAATGAATGAAATGATGAACTCTATTGACGATAATATCCCTGCTCATACTAAAAGCAAGACAATTAACATTATTATTTACCATATCGCTAAATCACCCCCTTTTATCCCCAATTTGTGTAACCTTACTTTTCAACTTATGCAGCAGCTCGCCCATGGTGGAAAATCTGTCCTATCTAAACGATCTCCAGTCACTGTCTGGTTGAAAGTGAATGCTTCCATCGATAATGAATACTGAAGCAGTCTTTCTGAAACCACGTACGCCGTTCAAGCTGGCTTCCTTCAACGTTCGCACACTAATGCAGATCAGACAACAGATAGGGCTGGCTATGTCTTTGGAAGGTCTTAATGTTGATGTTTGTTGTCTATCCGAGACCCGTATTCAAGACTCTAGTGAAGTACTACAAATCCGCTCTCCATCTGTCGCCTCGAAAAGCTTGTTCCACGTGCGCTTATCCGGGGACCCTGTGGCATCTTCGTCTGGTCTTGCTGGCGTTGGTGTCGCACTAAGCGCTAGAGCTGAGGCAGCACTAATCGATTGGATCCCCATTAACAGTCGGTTATGTGCTGTTAGATTAGAAAGTTCCATGGAAGTGAGAAGAAATCGGCGTGAGAAACGGTGTCTTTTCGTCATCTCCGCCTATGCCCCGACAGATTGCAGCCCGGATGCAATCAAGGATGAGTTTTACCATCAGTTAACAGTTCTTCTCCAGAAAGCGCGTTCGACAGATATTGTAGTACTAGCCGGAGACTTGAATGCACAGGTCGGGCGTCTAGGCACAGAAGAGAGTCGTCTAGGTGGCCGATGGGGACTTGTTGGTCGCCGGACAGATAACGGGGATCGTTTTCTGCAACTGTGCACAGACCACAACCTGTTTCTGGCCAGCACTAACTTCCGGCACAGTCATCGCCGGTGTGCCACCTGGCGTCCTCCCTCTGCATCCCAAGCCTGGACTCAGATTGATCACATCGCGATCAACTACCGCTGGCGTGGTTGTGTACAAGACTGCCGCTCCTTTTGGAGTACCTATCGGGAGTCTGATCATGCCCTGGTCTGCGCCAATCTCACCATACTTTTCAGTGGCCGAAGGATTGACCACCACCAACGGATTGATATTAGTAAACTGGCTGCAACTTCTGTTGCAAGTAAGTATCGAGCGGAGCTAGCCTCTAGGCTAGCTACCATCCCACCGAAAAGTATAGATGAGCATTGGATGCAACTTCACGACGCCATGAAAATGGTGAGTAAAGCCGCTTGCGGCTTCGCGAAACGTCCCGCTTACAAGCACTGGGTTTCTTCTGGCTCCTTACAACTGATGGAAGCCCGTCGGTCTACTCCGGGTGACCGTGAGTTTGACCACAAACGAAGGCTGTTACGTAATGAAATCGGGCAAAGCTTGCGTAAGGACCGGGAAGCCTGGTGGTCGGAGCGTGCTAATGAGATGGAAGCAGCAGCTGCATCTGGTAACTGCCGGAAGCTCTTCCAACTCATCCGAGCCACTGGCAGCAAGAAGTCTGGTGTGAGTGAAACAATCTACGAGGATGACGGGATGCCAATCACTAACATCTGTCGACGTCTTGGACGATGGGCGGAATTTTTCGAAGGGCAGTTCAACTGGCCTGCTGCTCCGGCAACATCAACCAGCTTGTCCTGCCCCCCCCCATGGCCGGTGACGACTGATCCACCAAACGAGGAGGAAGTCCTCAAGGAACTCCAACTCTTGAAACGTTATAAATCACCTGGCCCAAATGACTTACCTCCGGCTCTTTTTAAAGATGGTGGTGACTTTCTGGCTAAGGGACTGACTGCGTTGTTTGGAAAGGTTTGGGAGCAAGAAAGTGTTCCAACATCTTGGAATGAGTCAATAGTCGTCCCTATCTTTAAAAAGGGTTCACGTTGTTCCTGCAATAACTATCGGGGGATAAGTCTACTTTCGATCGCGTCCAAACTATTGGCTTCTATCATTCTTCGTAGGTTGTTTAAAACCCGAGAACGATTGACTCGCGAGGAGCAGGCTGGTTTTCGTTCTGGTCGAGGATGCATTGATCACATCTTCACCCTCCGCCAAATGTTAGAACACCGTCATACTTATCGCAGGCCAACAATCGTAGTGTTTCTTGATATCAGGGCTGCCTTCGATTTGTTGGACAGGACTGTTCTCTGGGATTGTCTATTGAAGAAGGGTGTGCCTGAGAAGTTCATTAACATCTTAAAGGCCCTGTACACGAACACCTCAGGCAGAGTGAGGGCATACAACCACCTTTCTCCCTTGTTCCATTCGAGCAGTGCGGTTAGACAGGGTTGCCCGATCTCACCATTCCTCTTCAACTTTGCCATCGACGACATCCTGGAAACAGCTCTGATGGATGTAAGTAATGGCGGTGTGGATATGTTGCCTGGAGAACGACTTCTCGACCTTGAGTATGCGGATGATATTGTCTTACTGTGCGATAATGCCCAAGGCATGAAATCAGCACTTAATCAGTCGGCCATCAGTGTCCGCAGGTACGGCATGTACTTTGCACCCTCCAAGTGCAAAGTACTCCTACAAGACTGGCAGGATTCTCATCCTGTACTCACCCTGGATGGTGAGCAGATCGAAGTAGTTGAGAAGTTCGTGTATCTAGGTAGCTATATAAGTGCTGGTGGTGGCGTCAGTGATGAGATTGATGCACGTATAATGAAAGCCAGAGCGGCTTATGCCAATCTGGGCCATCTTTGGCGCCTTCGTGATGTTAGTCTGGCTGTAAAAAGTCGGATTTACAACGCGTCGGTGAGAGCAGTTTTGCTCTATGCTTGTGAAACCTGGCCTCTCCGAGTTGAGGATGTTAGATGTCTCTCTGTGTTCGATCATCGTTGTCTCCGAAGGATTGCTGACATACAGTGGCAACACCATGTTAGTAATGCAGAGGTTCGGCATCGTGTGTTCGGGCGCAGAGACGATAATTCAATTGGTGTCACCATCTTGAAACACCGACTTCGGTGGCTTCGACATGTTTTACGAATGTCATCCCAGAAACTTCCACGTCGTGCATTATTTGCCGACCCTGGGACTGGTTGGAAAAAGCGGAGAGGAGGTCAGTGTATGACATGGTGTTGTGGCATGAAAAAAAGCTGCAAAGGGCTAGCTTCTGTTGGTCCTTCACGACTCTCTGGCTGGGGTCCGAGAGATGGTGCAACACAGTGGCTAGAGACGTTATCAGATATGGCTCAGAATAGAAGCCAGCGGCGATCCTGCTGCAACCTTCTTTTACTTTCTACATAAAGAATGGTTCTAACTTTCCTATTTGAAAGAGTCTTCTGGTTGTACATTTCAGCCCGCCTTATCTTTTCATCCCTTCTCTTCCTACTTTCATTATTTTGTGTGGCGCATATGTACCTGGTGCCCTTTTGTACCAATATATATGTGTTTAAATAAATAAATAAATAAAAACATGCACAAATTAAAAAAGAGTATTAAATACTAGGTAAACTTTTTTCCTAAAACTTGGTTAGAAAATAATAAATCTTTACCCAAGTACGTTGAATATGTTCCCTCTCTTCAGTCAACCGTATTAAACAAGCCCATGTTGATCCAAAACGCTTTGCAATAGAGAAAAAGTTATTCCAATCTGGGTATATTTTATTTGTTGGTATAATAGGCAGATTAGATATATGCTTTTCGGTAAGAATTAAAGCAGCTTCGCAACAACTTCCCAAAAGAGCACCACGTGATAATTTCACGAAAGAAAGCCATTTTTCTTTCGATAACTCATATATATCATTAGACGTTACATTTGAATTGATATCAATACTACTTTCAACATAATGATTGTAATTATTGGTATTTGATGCATCTAAATTGATAGCTAACTCGTGAAATTCAGCCTCCATCATATTTCCAATGGCTTCGGACACGACACTAACAACCTAGTATTAGTTATTTTCAAAACAGAATGAGGTACTTCAAAAGACTATCGGAATGACGATGAGTTCAAAGGAATGAATATGAAAGACCAATATGATAGACGTAGTTAATGGGATACAATTACTAAATCGTTTGATAGCAATGATCAAACATATTTTATACGTATACTTTTCAATACTTTAACAAACAGTTTGACAGAAATCGGGAGCTTAGTATGTATAAGACATTATAGGTAAAAATTATAATCGAAATAACCTCACAAATTGTAATCAAATAATTCCAACGTCTCGTCCGGCAATATTATCAGGGTAATGGTCAAAATCATCAGAGAACATATGAAATTTACTAATCAAATCTATACTAAAAGCTTATCCAGTCGTACAAAGATGTTGATTTTAGTCAGTATGGAGGAATGAGTCAGTAAGACGTGAACAACATGACTAATTATATATATATATATATATATATATATATATATATATATATATATATATATAAACACCACTGAACGATCACACATTGTACAAAGTATGACATGTATAAATCCTCGTTGTAGTTATCTAACATGCAGTAATTTCGCATTAATGTTATCTTTTATTGCCTGTGCACATTTTCACTAGGTGTTAGGCCTTAAACTTACATTTATAAATTGCAAGATTGTCCAAATAGGTATCAGACACTAGTTACTTAAGATTAAGATTTTGTTATGGGAATTCACCGTTGGTATATACAAAATGTGTCACTATATTTTCTATTCTTTATGAGCCTGTTTGTAAATATTATTAGGATTCGCAAGTATTAAATGAATACTGTGACAGAGTAACTAATAAACTGAGATTTAACGAACACTGAAAACCATGTTTCTATGTTTACTTCTTTATAATGAATAATATTAAAATGAATAAAGTCATTCATTATGTGCTTAGGTACGGGCCACACACACCAAGTTTGGCGGCTAATTATACTATACCGGCTGCCGAAACCGTAGTAGGGGAGGCAGAGTTCGGATCTGGGACTCAGTAGTCGGAAGTCTTTAGGATTATACTGTGGAATACAGTTAAAACCAATTAAGCAAACTTTTTCTTAGATATAAATAAAATTATATATTTGTAATATCCCAATGAGTAGAAAAATTAGATTTTTCTACTCATTGGGATATTACAAATATATAATTTATTTATAACAATCTACCCAATGCTCAATTTATTCAAAATTATCAAATCAAGTCTTGGTAATGATACCTACATTTTTCTTAGATAGTTTTTTCTATTACTGTGGTATATGTATGATAATTTATCTAAATCGACGTACGTTAGCATGATGCAATTTAGCTAAGCTGGTAGAGACAGATGCAAGTAGAACATCCCCAGATAAAGTTGCCAATTTATTGCAGATTTCCATATTTTTCAACCATGTTTCATTATCATCAGTGTTTTGATTCAAATCATTTAAATTGACTAAACTCCTAAAGAATAAACAAAGAGAAAAATAATGTGTGGAAAATGCGAGGATGATGTAGTAATACTTGAAAACAATTAGTTTCGCTTGTCAGTTGGTTATTAGTAGCAAACAGTTAGTCAGTTGCAATGTAGAACCTGTTGCGTGTGAACATTAGCCCAAAATGTCATACCCTATTAGCGCAGAGAGAGTAGATTGTCAAATCGAACACCAGAATAGTAGAGGTAGTAAAAATATCGGCGGTAATATAAAAGGTTAGACACCGAATATATTATTTAAGGACATGTTCTACGAATGTTGTCCCAGAGACTTCCACGTCGTGTATTATTTGCTGACTCTGGGACTGGTTGGAAAAAGCGGAGAGGTGGTCAGTGTATGACATGGTGTCGTGGTATGAAAAAAAGCTGCAAAGGGCTAGCTTCTGTTGGTCCTTCACGACTCTCTGGCTGGGGTCCGAGAGATGGTGCAACACAGTGGCTAGAGACGTTATCAGATATGGCTCAGAATAGAAGCCAGTGGCGAGCCTGCTGTAACCTTCTTTTACTTTCTTCATAAAGAGTGGTTCTAACTTTCTTAACTGAAAGTGTCTTCCGGTTGTATATTTCAGTCCCCCTTATCCCTTCTCTTCCTATTTTCATTATTTTGTGCGGCGCATATGTATCTGGTGCCCTTTTGTACCAATATGTATGTGTTTAAATAAATAAATAAATAAAATAAATTTAAGGAAATATAAATCAGTAAGATAAAAACACGAAAAGAGTTATAGGAAACTCAGAAGGTCGGGACTCAGGTAAAGACAAAAGATGGGTGCACCTACACCATTGCAAATTATTCTGAATTATATCATTCGAAGTCGCTAATCACTGGTTATGATAATCACGCAGTCTACACCAGTTAATAATAATAATAAAAGTTAACATGAATCGGTTCGATTGTCAATGACTTCATAGAATAATGAGTGATACTCTCAGGCTGTTTAAATTAAATAAAGCGGAGTTAAAACCTGTGACCACTGAGGTTTATGGTCACTAACCCATAGCTTTATAACATTAATTTCAAGAACTAGTTTACCACATAGCTGAGCAAATGGACATGGACCTGGGTACTGGATTGAACTTCATATAAGGAATTACATGAGCAGTTACATGAATCTAAATTTACCACACACCTGAATACCACACGGTGACCATTAGTTTACTGAAAAGCACTTTATTCTTTTGTGTATAAACACATTAGAATAACTAACAACCATGATTCGTACCACATGACCATTCTCTAGTGATATTAACTGGCACAAAGGAGAGATGGAGTTGTCTAACTTTGTGAGTCAATTTAAACGCTAAACACGACGGTTGCTTGTGAAGTCAATCCGTTATGTTGAGTAAAACTTGTAGTTAGTCTGTGAACACTTGTTATATGAAATATTATTTTATGGACCGAGTGACTAATAGTTTAAGTAGTTATATTGTTATAATTTCATGGGAAATTAACCTTAAAATACTCACTTCCATTATGTTTTATGTTTACATGAACTTTACAATGCATGAAAATCTACTTACTTATGAATAGCTACTGCAGTATGAACAGTCTCGAATATTTCCGAGATACTGCGATGTTGACTACACAATTTTGTTGAGTTTGTGGGACTAGCATATGACTGGCCAACCAGAAGTATAATTAGCCCACCAGAGGGACGTTCAGATGTTACAGATTTTGAAAAACGATCCGATATAGCAGAGGAAATAGAAAATAAGTTGTTAACATATCTGCCTCGGAGACATGAGCGTACGGTTGAGAAAAATGGATGGTTAACATTTCCTGCCAGTCGTCGAGCTCGCGATGCTAAAGAACCAGCTTCAGAAGATAATATATTCCCTAAATTAATATATGGTGAGGGACCTCCGAGTAACTTTTCAGCCCGGGAAATTAATTTTGACCACGTTGTTGTCATGCTAGCAAAGTTAACAGCCTGCAAACACAATGGTCACACAGACGGAGGAAGATTAAGGTGGGAAAGTAAGCTATCTAGATCAAGCTCATTCCAACGAATGTTATCGAAAATATCTGAATTTGAAATTTCAGGACACCGTTGAGTACCAAGATGTTGTGGCTCCGGATCAGGAAGTGAGTTAGGTTTGACCAAAATGAGTTCAAAGGGTAATATATCGTCTCTCCAGTCTAATCCAGCTAAATCAATTAAAGAACCATCAGGAAGATATTCACCATCAGACATCTAAAATAAATTAGACACAAGAACAGAGTTCTAGTCATACAAATCGTACACAAATACTACACGAAACAAAGGAACTGATAAACTGAGGTGCACTTTAATAATATGTATGGAGAAATTATTTTGAGTAAATTTACCTCATTACGTAAGAGCCATAATCTTGAATAAGGCAAGTTCGTCAGAACAATAAAGCTTCTGAACGAAAGTTACACACATCTGGTTTCGTTTTCCGAATTAGATAATTCGGCAAAAGTATGGTACAGAGACGAATAGTTCAGTATTAAGAATGCGACTTCTAGGATCCTGACCGAAAGTGATACACCAAGTATAACCAGCAGTAAAATCACTTTTTTATAGTACTCAGAACATCTGAAACGATGAAGGAAAACTAGTTTTGCCACCATGGGATTAAAGTGAGGATATTAAGTTCTCATCTCCTTTCCTGTATATTGTATATGGCAGGCAAACGGACATTATCCTTAGAATGTTACCATATATAAACAATCTTCAAATAAGCCTTAACCAATTTGGCAGACCAACCAGATAACATACCTTAGGTTTTTAAACCCAAATTTGCGGACGAGACTTATCCATTCATGTTCAAAAATTAACTTATTATTATGGATGATCCAAGTTTACGGTGAAAATCTACTTCTAATCATTACCATAAGGGCCTAAACCTAAACAAGATCAATGTAGACTTAAAATCCTACCTAGGTTCTTTTAAGGGTTTGAAAAAACTGAGGACTCACTTTCCTACGATTTAATTTAGATCTTATTTTTTTCGATTTACAGACAGAGTAACCTTAAAAAGCCTTAAACAGCTTTTTAGCCAGATAAAACTACTTTGTACTTTTGTGATATTGTCGTGCTCCTTCTTTAAAACCACCTGTTTACAAAAGCCACTATTCGGCTGGCAAATACTTATTGAGAGTCAATCGAGATTGTTTGAGGCTCTTCCCTAATCTACACTATTACCGACCGTTAACGAGCGCGCTTTCTGAACGGGAAGTTTAGCCCTAACATGATTTGCATTTCTCAACCTTTTGCTGTGTTCATAAGCAACAAAAGAACCCTTTCTTACCTAAAGAATTTATTCTGAGCTATACGTTCGGTAGACTACATTTTTTTGTTTCAGCTAACTCAATAGTTAACTGTAGATTTGCCTCAGCTCACTATTCAGTTTTTCACGTAAGGACTTGTTCCAGCTTACCGTAACCCGTTTTTATCCATTTTTGCCCGTTTTACTGTACTGCGTTTCTTTAAACCGTCCTTGGCTTCCTGCTTGTATCTATGAGACAGTTTACGTCAATATGGTCATGAAAAATTCATGCGAACGACCTGGATGCCATTTTGCTCTTACATCTGGCATGCAGTGCGACAACTGCAAAGGTTGGTTTCACGAAGCATGCACAGATCTCACACCAACTGCTTACAACAGACTCAGCAAGTCGGATCTTAAGTGGATGTGTCATGTGCAACATGGATGCTGTAGTTTTGCGGAGAAACATCATTGCTATATTGACAGGTCTGCTGAACAAGTTGTCTGAAAACTTGGAAAATGACAGTCATACGACGGGTAGACAAACAAGAACGCGCAGTGTAAGCAAGAAGAGGGATATCGACAGGTCTACTATGGATGGAGGATGCGATAGCACTTGTGATGACATGCTGAAATTCAGGACAATCATAACGTTGATGGTAATAGACTCCCTCAGCAAACTTGGGTCTCCCAGGACAGGGTCCTTGAATGTAACGGTAAATCCCCCAAAATCTGTAGGAAATTGGACCCACGTTAACAGAGTTAAAAAGGACCAGGCATCACAGTCGAAGCTGAACATCTCAAGTATTGTACGGAAATCAACTGGTGACTTGGCCGCACAGTCTACCCCCAAGAATGTCGGTCAAGTAATCAAACAACATAGGAATCAGAAACGCGCTTCAACATCCAAACAACAAGGTGCCGGGCCTGGACGCACTGGAAAACCTGAAAATTCAATAACTGTTCGTCATGACTCTTTCATAATCATGAACCTTGAAGACAACCTTGACCTTCTCCTCAGTTTGGAGGACAAAAATGACAGGATGCTCTAGGGAGAATGAAACAAGAAGCTTGAACTTCCTAGAATAGAGCCTCTGACTGTCACACGGCTGACTCGGGGGAAGGACTATAAACATCGGAACCACCCAGGCTACTTCATGCAACACTCAAGAATGCTTCCGACGTGGAGAATTTCTTGCTAGCTAGTCACTTACTGAAATCCGATGAAAACGTAAGAATACTGACTGACATACCGTATTCTGATCAAAATCTCATCCTGAACATCCCTAAAGAATCTCGCGAGAAGTTTTCTTGCGGGAGAAATACTATTTGCACCATTTGAACTATATAGTTCAAATGGTGCAAATAGATGAGTTCATTAATATTAATGAATTCATCTACACCGATTAACTGATAACTGGATCAAATTTAGAAGGGTTAGTTCACAACCTTTAAAGTTATAAAGACGGTAGAGTTTCAATGTGTTATGGGATGGAAACTCTTAACTTACCAATGTGAAAAAGAGCTACACAACAGACTCATATGACCTTCGGACGACCTCAAGACGACAAATGTTGCGCGGTTGGTCATAAGTGATTAGACAGTTAAATGGGATGAATGACTGCGCATGGACAAAAAAGATTTCAGTCAAAAGGCTTTCGTATGTTGTAGGGGTGGATCACTGCCCCTCCAGATAGGAACCTGTGCATATTTAACAAGCACAAGAGAAATAGTGTTTTTGGTTTCTGAGTGAAAATCATAAGAAGCAGAATAATTTATAATATATTTCTTCTAATATCTTTCTCACGAAAATTAAAAAGCGGTTGATATCCTTGCGCTTTCTCATCATTGTTTCGGTGCGATTACAAGTATTTGGTAACGTTTTTGGTTGCTCAGGAATCTGACTCCAGTTAGGTCGAATGAATGATTATTATTGAAATATATAAATGACCTGTAGCTGTAAATAATTACCCAAACTCAATAGCTTTCTAAGTGTTCGAAATTGGATGCTGACCACATTGTTTTAAGTGGACTTGTTTAACTGAAGGCGTTCGGTCATGCATCCGCCCCAGATCACGTTTCGCCCCAGCGTGGGACACAGCTCTTACGTTCACTAGCCAGATTAGAGTAAACGCTTCTCGATATATTGATAACGCATCAAATATACCCTTCCTACCTCTTCTCGTCTGACTTCTACTGGTTGGGAAAATATTCGAATATAGGTGTGTAGTATCGGTGTGTATGTTAAGCCCATATACTTTATTCTAGTTGCTGGCCAAGCCAATTCGCCTATCCATTATGAGTCATATTTTGATCTTGTTAATTATTCGCTTACTAACCTTGACTACCTTGTTATATGAGCGCATGTGTATGTACCCTTCTTATCCTACCTATCACATGTCTGTCATTCATTTTTGTCCGACTATAAATATTGATTAACGCTTGCTTAAATGGAGCTGGCTTCCCAGCCATCTCCACTATGCATCATCTTTGCTTCGCTCGCTTACATTTGCTCATGTGCTTACAACTTTCTGGTCTGCATCATTTATCAATAAAAATGTAGTTGCCGCTTCCTTATGCCTTCTGATTTTATACACCGTTAAGATTGGCATAGTAACGGTTATCGAAGTGAACTATTATCGAAGCACGGCACTACAGGTGTTACTGGTTTAGGGTTGCCAAACTTCAAGACTAGTTGTATCTTCAGTTGTGAGCCCGACGTGGTACGCTTCTTCGCTCGTTTCTTGATCGACTACGATCATTACGAAATCGCAGATATCTTGTTAATGTATGACACATCCATCCTTGTTTATAATTATCGACTTAACCCGCGTTGATGAATAACGGGAATAAATAGTCCAGATACAAAAATGGATGTTAAATATGTATATTTCATGCACTCAGTGACTTAAACAGGCAATAAGGGAGATGAAACAAAGAGGGAGGAGCGAAACAGATTTAAGAAGGCAACTCAGTTTAATCAAGCGTTAATCAACGTTTATAACCACACAAAATTAAGCTACAGACATGTTATGAGTAGAGTAAGATGTGCACACACATGCTAGCCCAAAAACTCAGAATAAATATGTCAATAAATGACAAGGTGAAAATGTGATTCGACTGCACTAAATCTAGTAATTCCGGCAGTCATCTATGAACTTCCATATCTTCTAGTTCTAGTGAGGGCGTTTGTCTCACGATATTAGGGTTTATGGATACGAGCACTGTGCACATTAAGACAGGACGCTGGTAAGTCGCTATGTGAAAAATAATAAAGTGATAATTTGGATGCTATGGGAAGACGATTATTTCAGGAAATAAATAAATAAGATACTTTATTGGCAGTGCACATACTATGAGACCAAAGTGTAGGAATAATAATCAGTTCGCAGTAGTGCCTTGGTCTCAAACTCTCGTTTTGTTTCCTGAGACCGTTTTACCAAACGTGGTAATCATTAAGGATAGTCTGGTAAGCATCATGATTTCGTTTATTCTTGCTAAGTTCCATCTCAAGAATCTCCACCTTTCTCTGTAAATTACTATTCTCTTGACCTGTAATCTACTATCTGCTACTTCATAGTTTCCCACTTTTATGTTTGGACTCGTTTTCCCTGGTATCGTAACTACAAAGTGACCGCCGTCGAAGCGCGTGCCTCTTTCCACAATTTCTATAGCCGCTTTGTTTTCTACTGATAGTGATTTATCCATTGAATAGACATAGAGAAACTCCACATCACAGAGCTTATGTATTTGGTCTTCTAATGTCTGTACCTTACTGGTATGATTAATAACTCTTCTCCTAAATCCCGGGTATGATACAGGTTCAAATGCAGTCCATCCCAGCAACGTTTTCACGGAGTATGGGTTTTTCCTCCCACCCAACCTCTGGTCAAACACCCAGTGGGCTTCCGGGACGTCACAACAAATCAGCAGTAGGACTTCTCCAGAATCTAGACTATTTAATGGCACATCACCCAAATGCGGCCCCTTTCACTGGGCTGTTCATTAACGACCTCGTTGGCTTATGCCCTGATATACGTGACACAATCAAAGCCCCATCAATCGTAACATGCTCAGACTGATCTAAAGAATATACTTCAGAACGCGCCTTCGTGACCTTTGTTGTTCTGTTACCACCCGAGCGAACTCAAACAGTCTGACATTTTATTATCTATACCAGCCCATCCTACGAGGTAGCCAGGGGTGTATTTTGGTAAGGACTTTTGATAAAAACACTCACTGACAGGATCTTGTATTTATAGATAAAGGTTAAACTATTACAATGGTTTCGTAGTATGACCAAGGCAAGATGTCTCAATAAATTACCATCATTGACTTCAATTGACCTCAGCCGGCTCTTATCAAATGTACAATATTTATTGTATATTCTCTAAGTCAAGGCATGTTCAACTGCAAGGACAATTTCATTGGGAACCCATTGTCACTACAGCCGTGTAATTTAAAACGGACACTGCCAAATACATTTGTTTAGTCAAGCATTCTGGTCATATATCATAGCAAACCACACGAGACACTTCTAATATACCTTAGGTTGCAAACACAGTTGATACACGTTTTTTGCCACTGCAAATGATAAGATATATTTTCCTTCCGACCACTCTCATCATTTTTCATCATTTTGTGCGTAAAGCATTTTAAAGAGCATGAGATTGACACTATCCGATTTGACGCAACCAGAATAGAATAGCCGTTTTTAGTGCTTACAAAAGAATGATATCTGGCTCTTTCGAGTAGTGTCATGTTCATTTGAATTGTCAATGTTCGACGTAACTGTTACCGTTGATATTGAACTATTGCTTTGTATTTCCCTCCACTCTCATGGACCAATCAGTGCCATAAGGGGGGGCGAGGTTATTCAATAAAATGGATGTACCTGCAAAGTCTGGCGGTGATGAACCTGGAGTTCTGAAAGAGGTAAAAGTATTAATATCCAGTAATGCTTGAAGGTTGACTGCTATATTTCCCCAGCTTTGGAGAAACAAATCCTATTGCTTTTGGTAGGTCATTTATATTACGTTTCTATATTAAGTATAAAAATCGAGAGAATTATCACACACTAGATAACGAGTCAATTAAAGAAGCTCGTATTAAGCCGAATCTTGATTTGCTTGAATTTCTTGTTAGGGATGGGCGGAGTTCTTTTGTTGAATCTGTCGGTGAGCAGATGTATGTATCTGTTTTTTTCCCAATATTATCATTCTTTAAGAGACACATATTTACTTCGGTCAAACACCGTCACATTTCCGAGGACGTTACTTGGGTACTTTGTCAATGGTAAGCTGTATACCTATGTTTGATGTACTAGATGAATGCCACTTCATACCGCTTAAACGAGACGCTTTGGTTTTGGATACGTGTAAAGAAGCAGTTAAAGGTATGAATCTTTTTGTTGGAGTCTTAGCCATCTTTGTATACCATTATGTCTATTCAGAAGTGAAAATACCTCATATTCTGTTTTGATAACTTGTGAGTTGGGGATATAGATTCACCACCGATTTTGTAATAAGCTTTTGGGCTGCACTTCAGGAGTAAGATTGAAGGAGTACCGTTTACTTTGTTTCTGTGCAAAATGTTCCTCTTTTTACTTCTATTCATCTCACATGTATTCTACTGGTTGAATATAACTTACTGAGATAATCTTATAATCGTTGTGTTTATTTTTCATAACTACCACATCTCATCAGTTTACATTATTCATGGATATGCGAAACTTTCTTTGAAACTCTCAGCTTGGTTTGAACAGTCAAGTAGTACCTGGCTGTCACATAATAATCACACTTTTAGGTCCAGCACATATATTATCCATTACATTACAAACCAGTACTAGATGCTACATACAACTTGGAAGTATAATATGGCGGGAAAGACTTAGGCCTGATAATCTAGTCTCAATTAATTAGAAAATAATCCTTGAAATTGGTTTTATAAACGTATTTGTCTTTAAGTGATTAATCTGTCTGTAGACTTGTTGTTTTATGCAATAAATCTGGCCTTTGAATCGGCAGTTGTCTTTCGTATCAGTTCATCCAATAGGTCACGTCAATACCCACGTTTCATGATCAGTCATCACATGGCCATGTCGTATCATTATAGGTCATTTTGGTGACTGACATTTAAGTGGTGTTTCTTCCATAAAGTGGGTTTCTGTAAAAGATTTCTGCCTCACACAACTAACGTTTTTTAAGCCTCTTCATAGATACTGCTTTTTGATCCTTTTGTACATTATTATTATTTAGCATTCATTTTGTAATTAGGCATAATCTTGTTGGGGTGGTCTAGAAAACTCACAAATTACAAGAAAGGTTCAGGAAACACTGAGAAGCATTTTTTTTCCAATCAGCATTCACTAGAAGTTTTGCCAGAAACATCACGAAAGTGGAAAGTCACATGTGAAATTTCTGATTGGCTGATTCCTATACTGCTACTATGTTTAGTAGCATTCCAGAATTTTTGGGAAAACCCAAAGACTTCTAAAATACTATAAAAGCCCTGTATTTTCTGTACATGGATGGATCTTTGGAGTAAAGTGCTTCTCTCATATTTTGTGCCTTTTCTCTCGTGTTCAAGTTGCTGTGTAGATTTAGCTTGGGTGTTACGAGAATGGCTTAGGAACCGAGTGTAGCGTTCAACTAGCAGGACTCATCACATTTACTAATCTATTTCCTCCCTCGTATATTGCGATTTGATGCTTTTAGTGCCGGTCTCTGCATTTGTATTCTTACCTATGAAATGGACGTTATCTTTTTTACCTATCTTTTCTTAGCTATTCGGATATCATTTATTTCGTTGACGAATAAATTTTTTTAGGGACTAATCTGATTTATTCATTATTAATTAGTTAACGAAGTACGTTTAGAATATTCAAAACTACATTTCATATGATCGTTTCTGCTTTCTTTCATAATACTTTTCAGTTGATAAGACAAACCAGAATTCTGATTCATCAACTTCAACTCCTGTGGCTCCCGCAGCGTTCGTTTCTGCCCGTCTTAGGACTGCCGATGCAATTGCACTACGAGGTCCTATGGCGAGTCGTCGTAAGCCTGCAGATAGTGATCCTGATGTTATATTTCTGAAACAACAGGTCCAAGCACCATGGTGTCCAGTACAATATAAACGATTTATTGTAGGTTCGAAATTAATTAGTAATATTTCCTGTGCCATTTCATAATTTAGTTTCGTATGAATAGTAATTTAGCTTTACAAATAATTACTAATCAAGTACTGTGTTTAGTACTTAGTAAGTACTTGGTATCAATGTGCATGGATTTCGTATCTCCTAAAAGCTCAGGAAAATTAACTTTGAGCGAAAGTAAACACTTATTCACTGCATGAGAATCAAATCAAAAGTCCCCAAAGTTTTTAAAAAAGTTCAGATTGAGCTCAGGAAAGGGTTGAATGAGGAATGCTGGTGGCTGTCCTATTCTCCTCCATAAGGAGTAGCAGGCGTAAGTAAATAACCAGCCACAACGTAGGACGAGACACATATATGCATCGGTTCCAGTTGTCGTACCTCGTTAGCACAATAAAATGAACACCGGATTCATATAAGTAGTTACTTCAATGATAGTAATATATGAAACAAAGATTGCGGATAAGGAAGAAATAATTAGTTCGTAGAAATAAAGTATAAAGTAATTTTAATCTCACGGTTTAAGGAAAAACAAATAGTATATACACCTACGCTATTGTGGTCGATTCTGAGCCATGTCACTCAGAGTCTTTAACCATTGGTTACGACAGTCGTGCGGACCCCAACCAAGTAGTCTGCATCTACTAACATGGCTCAGCTCAAATGCGACAAATATTTCTAAGACATCTTTGATCTTATGATAATAACTTGTGAGTATCTTCTACTCCTAATGTCCATGTTTCGCAGCCGTAAAGTAGAACAAATTTATCTTATTTATTATTTAAACACATAAATATTGGTACAAGGAAGCACCAGATACATATGCGCCGCACAAGTCTCATTCGATTTGTTACTGCCCAGGTGCCCAAACCGAAACAGGTGGTTTTCTTAGGAAGTCACACCTACAGCCTTTGACCTAAATGTCTGATCCACAAGGCAGTGGAGCATCGTGAGGAGATGCAGTCCCGTGGTAGCCGGTGACCAACGATTGATTCATACGCCATTTGTTCCCTCAGGATACTGGAACCCATGTGTACCATTGGTTTGAAATGAGGGTTTCTCAACTCCCCTAGGTTAATTTCCCGTGTCCACCAACCCGGTTAAAGCGCCGTACATTAACTTTTCGCCCTCTCAATTTTGTAAACAACACCCTCGCCACGAGAGGGCAGTGAGTAGGACTTCCCTGGCAGAGGCTATATACGCGTGGCCATGTGAGAGCATTTGGAGAGGGAGAGCGGACTCTCCTGTCACCATCTTGAAACACCGACTTCGGTGGCTTGGACATGTTTTACGAATGTCGTCCCAGAGACTTCCACGTCGTGCATTATTTGCCGACCCTGGGACTGGTTGGAAAAAGCGGAGAGGAGGTCAGTGTATGACATGGTGTCGTGGCATGAAAGAGAGCTGCAAAGGGCTAGCTTCTGTTGGTCCTTCACGACTACTTGGTTGGGGTCCGAGAGATGGTGCAACACAGTGGCTAGAGACGTTATCAGATATGGCTCAGAATAGAAACCAGTGGCGATCCTGCTGCAACCTTCTTTTACTTTCTACATAAAGTATGGTTCTTACTTTCCTATTTGAAAGAGTCTTCTGGTTGTACATTTTAGTCCGCCTTATCTTTTCATCCCTTCTCTTCCTACTTTCATTATTTTGTGTGGCGCATATGTACCTGGTGCCCTTTTGTACCAATATATATGTGTTTAAATAAATTATAATAATAAATAATCGTTGGTTTGGTGCAGGGGGTTGCCATGTTAGACGATGTCTCTTCTTATGCCTAAAATAAGTGCTTGTTAAGAATAAACGATTGTCTGAGCACAGTTGTAAGAAGTCACCATTGTCTATTCAGTTAGTCGGAATACTAATATGCCCACCTGAATGTCCTTCTGTTTGGCTTAAGCTACCTACCTGGGCATTAAAGTCACCTGCTACGACTACTATATCTGAGCGCTTAGCTTTCTGAAGAGGTTCAGAAAGCTTTCTGTAAAAGTCAGATTTCACTTCATCCGGGCTGCACTCAGTGGGAGCGTAGGCAGAAACAACGAAAAGGCAACGATGTGTGTCCCTATCCTTCCGAGTCCTTACGGAGCCATTTAGTCGAACAGCGGTATGGCAACTCGAACTGATGTACGTACGTACGAAGTTCTACGTTGTAACTGACTGATTGAGTCGAACAGCACATAAGCGACTGTTAACGGGGATCCACTCTTGTAGTTTGTCCCGCCCTCGTACTTAGTGCTACGCCTACACCCGCCAGTCCATTAGAACTAGCCATCGGGTCTTCAGATACACGGAGGGTGCATTTTGTCGGCTTTTCGTTTTGGCGAGGTGAGGTCAAGTGAATGCCCACGCTAGGATTCTACATGTGTGTTTCGGAAACACAGCATACATCAGTGGTACGATATTCTAGGGTTTTAGCTAAGGGGGCCTGCTGATCGATTTGACAGAGTGCGTACGTTGAATGCGCCAGTGTATAGTTTGGAGCGAGGTTTCAGTAGCCTTGGGACAGTATTTCGCGCACTAAAATCGTTGGCTATGGTGACACTTGATGAAAAAGTCAAAAGAAGTTTGGTGTTGAAATTCGAGGCGGAGAAATAATAGGGATCGAAAAGGGAAACTGATTATGAATGCAGTGCTGTTAGAGGTATGGGGGTGGTTCTCACTTCCAGGTTGCCCACACAGTGGAAGGGTTCTTCTAGTGATACCTGGAAAGGCAATTGGGTTATAGTCAAAGTTTTTTGATGAACGAAACAGATTTGTGTCGACAGTAGAGGAGACTATTTTCAGCGTACTTTTAGTCTTTGAATTTTATTCCTACTATTCACTCAACAGTTCTGTTCTGGCTATGTATCCTTTTTACTGAAGTGCTGTCTTTGTAAAGCTTATATTTTGTGCTTTTCATAGTACTGTGGTGTGTGCTAATTCTACGAATAGATATAAGTAGTATGTATCAGGAATTGGAATTTCGATGCTTACTGACAGAAGGGGAAAATGAGAAGAGTAAAAAAACCAGTTTGAGTAGCAACATAAATAAGAGGATGAGGAAGTTTGTAAAAGATAATTCAAGGAAGATGTGCAAATGGTGTATTCAATGTATTGTTTTTCATATATTACAAATTCAGTGTGTGATGTTGCATAATACAATAGATTGGTTTACCCTGCATAAACTCTTCATTCATTATAGTACTGATTAGTAGCATTTCTGAAATGAGTTAAGTCTCTCACTTTATGTAAAGCCAGATAGCGTAACTCGTATTTCTTAATCAATAGGGTGGTGATTCAGTGATTAAAGAAGTTGTATTCCAACTATTTGATCTCCGATTCAAACCTCCCCCTACCCAATTTGGTTTCGGCACCTGATTATTATTCTTAGCATTCACGTGAGAAGTGTAGCTCAAAGCCTAGTACATGAATCTTTACTTTATAAATGGGTGGGTGTACCATTTATAAATTGTACGACAGCTATATATTCTACGAGGTTTAAGTGGCGTAAATGTTTCTTTTAACAATTGTTGTTCAGTGTGTACTTCATTTTCACTAGACTAAAAAACCAGCTACAAAGTATCAATAGAATGTAATTAATATTATTTGTATTTATACATGAATAAACTTATTTTGAGTAAGGTAAAATAAAAACCGATTATTTGGCTATAATTTCAAGTAATTATAACAACTTCTGTGTAAATCATTTTATTTTATTAGCCGAGTGAAGCTTTTGAAAGGCGTATCCCTTTATTGTATTCAAATGACGATATGCCAGAATTGACTAGAAATCGCGTAACAGGCCCAAGTCAAGAAGAATATGTGAACAGTTTGCTAGCTTCAGTAACACCACATGTCGTTGAGTAAGTATAAAAATTATTGTGTTTTTCTTCAACTTGATTTTAATTATTATGAACACAGAACATCATTTTCCGTTTTGTGATTCCTTACAATTTCAAAGGTAATAATGAAAGATTATTTAATTTATTTGAACACATAAACATTGGTACAAGGGGGTACCAAACACTTATGCGCCACTCAATAGCAATGAAGTCGTGAAGAGATGGAGAATGTAAAGTGAGTATGATAGAAAGAACAAGAGACAGAAATCAGTGTATGGAAGTGAAATGAGTAATAATAATGGGAGAAACAGTTCAGTTAGCAAAAATATGACCAGAGAGAATTCTTTCAGCTAAAGAAGTTACGTTTATTTTTATGAAGAAAGTAAAAGAAAGTTACTGCAGGATCGCCACTGGCTTCTATTCTGAGCCATATCTGGTAACATCTCTGACCACTGTGTTACACCATCTCTTGGGTCTCAACCAGGGAGTCGTGAAGGACCAACAAAAGCCAGTCCTGTACAGCATTCCTTCATACCATGACACCATGTCATACACTGACTATCTCTCAGTGGGAAAGATCTCACTTAATTCTTTCAAATTTTGACTAGCAATTTCTTATGTTGATAGAAAAGACTAATACTCTAGTCTTCACTGATTATCAAACCCTACTGTTTTTGAAATATGATATGGTCACTAGACTAAGTAACACCAGCATTAAATCAATATGCAGAATATGTGGCTTGTTCATTATAAATATGGAGTCAGTTCTCGGTACGTCTATACAAATCCTTTGGTACTCAGATGGTATTACTAGTTCATAAATACACAATGAGTGTAGCGCGTAGCCCATCACTAAAGAATGTAAATTGTTTTTGTTGTACTAGTCAGTTACCACTTTACAATAAATTGGATTTTCGGTGGGAAAATTTAAATGAAATCCCTTAAATTAAGTCTCGTTTTTTTATTAATCCAACAAGATTAAGGTGATTCATTGCCCTACCGAGATTTTAATTTACATTCTCCACTGCACCAATTGATAACCTTTTCATTTCCATTACTTTAAGCTAATATGTCTAAACCCCAATAATAAAAATAGATTGTCATGCCAGTTCGTGACAATAGGTGTAAAACTTAGAGACATTATCTTGTTAATTTCCTACAAAAATACCTAACTATTCTTAAACTGTTTGACGTAGATTGTTTCACTAAATTTCAACCTTTGTGTTAGTAGTTGGCTGAAAAAAGGGTTTTTCAGCAAATGTTATACAGAAATAAATACTTTACCATTTTTGAGTTCATACACGAGTTTTTCCCATAGGACTAGTTTAACGTTAATGCAATTTATCGTAAATGGTGACATAATGGTCTAAACACTTGGCTTTAAAATAATGAGTTGCAGGTTTGAACTCCGCTCCATACACTTTGATTACGAGAACGTAACGGTGATTTTTGAATTCCACAAAACAGTATGACTTAAAGCTTAGATCATAAACCTGTACTTGATGTATGATGAATTCAGAAAGTTGAGTACTTGAAATATCTTTACTTTCCACATGTACCAGGCAATTCTCTACGTTTTGCGTGCCAAGTAACATCTTGTAGGTTGAACATTCGGATTATACCAACTATATCCTTGTGCTATATATATATTGACTATTTTTCTTGGATGCATTAATCGCTAGTATCTTCTATTATCTTTATTTTTCTAATCACTTAAGTTATACTATTGATTAGTATTTATAATGTTTCGCCAATGAATAATATATACTTTGTTTATTTAATTTTTCAGTCGTAGCCGCACGGAGTCTGTTAAACTTCCTACTTTGGGAGAACTCATTCAAACAATAATGATAAAAGGTAATATTCTTACTGTTAGTTATATATGTACAGAACATTAAATATGAGTTTTTGTATGTGGAGATATGGTTTGCTTGTTTAGTGTAACAAGAATATTTTTCAAGACGTTATTTACTCTTTACGACCTTCATTTCTATCTTTAGTTAATTATTTGTTAACAAATGGGTAAATTAGGCTCGAATGAACATTTTTTACACGGAGTATAAAACCTAAAATCTTGAATATTCACATATTCAGCTAGTTAATTTAGCGATACCGTATTTTGATATCCTTCAAGTTGGGTTTTGTGGGTTGATTCTGTGAGCAAACCATCAATTTAATCACTGTGGTCCTAACAGTTTTGCATTCACCACGATACATGAACTAAAATGTGGTTGTCTGTTACCGGTAATGTGTATACTTAGTGTCTACAATCAAATTTTATTGTTGAAAGTTGTAAGTTTTGTTTGTTTCAACACTGTAAGTCGGCAAATACACTATCTGATTTCATCTTATGTGCAGTTTTTGCTACTGAATGAATTTAGTTTGAAAATTTTCATCATATGAATACACCAAGCTAACTGTTTTCCTTTCACATTCCATTGTTTTTGATGCATAACTCAGTGAAAACTTATCAATTCATTGTACTTTTTATTACTTTACTTCAAAGTGTAAGTTACTTTGAGGACCTGTAAAATATTGTTGAGAATGCTAAATTCTCAAATGTAATATCAGGTAGAGATCTTTTTTTTAATTCACGTATTAATTTGGAGTAAATTTTATTCATCTGATTTTCATCTGTCCTAATTGAATTCTGAATGACTCTCAAACTGATAAATTTTCTGACTAATAATCATTGGATTTAATTGAGTTAACTTAAATGTAATTTAGTTTTCCTGGGATCCTCAGTAATACTTCTTCCTTACAAGACCTCTCTTCCATCAAATGTAGTGCTACTATTCTTGAAATGTAGTGTGTTAGTGGTTCAGTCTATCTAGTTCACATAGATCCCATTTTTTACTGGAAGAAATCGCATCATCGTTCGTTATCGCCAAATACCGTTTCCAATCCCCAACATACGACAATTGCTCAGGGGAGATAAGGATCTTAACCACGGCACTACCTTAATTAGATATGTCAACATTCTATTCGAGCTTGGACTGATTCATCAAAAAAATTGTCATTTGCTCTGTCCAACTAAGTCTTGTGTTAGTTAGCTTTACAGACTAATTTATGCATACCACCTTACCACTTCTAAACCCTTATTTTCTGTTTTTTATGTAAATGTAATGTTTAGTCTTAGAAACGTATCTTTGATCTTTTTTATATTTTTGGTGTTATTTCTTTCATCACTATTTTATAGCACAACTTATTCGATTCGACAAATTAGTTATTTGTTTACGTGAACGCTTCAAAGATCCACATTCAGTCACTAATACTAGTGTTTTGCAATACTTACCGACATTCGCTGTTCTACTCCGTGGATGGTGGGTCGCTAAAAGGTAACCAAGTGTTTCCACATATCCATAACATACTTTTTCTTAATATTATTAGTTATTTGAAAGTTGTAGATAAGATGCCCTGTTACGCACCATCTAACACTCGTCAACAAGGTGTAACTAAAATCTTAAAGAAGTTGGTACTCACTATAGGATTTGAGCCCCCAAATGCCCTGGTACAGCCGAGAGTCAGGAGAGTCCTCTCTCCCTCTCCAAATGCTCTCACATGGCCACGCGTATATAGCCTCTGCCAGGGAAATCCTGCTCACTGCCCTCTCGTGGCGAGGGTGTTGTTTACAAAATTGAGAGGACGAAAAGCGAATGTACGGCGCTTTAATCGGGTTGGTTGACACGGGAAATTAACCTAGGGGAGTTGAGAAACCCTCATTCCAAACCAATGGTACACATGGGTTCCAGTATCCTGAGGGAACAAATGGCGTATGAATCAATCGTTGGTCACCGGCTACCACGGGACTGCATCTCCTCACGATGCTCCACTGCCTTGTGGATCAGACATTTAGGTCAAAGGCTGTAGGTGTGACTTCCTAAGAAAACCACCTGTTTCGGTTTGGGCACCTGGGCAGTAACAAATCGAATGAGACTTGTGCGACGCATATGTATCTGGTGCTTCCTTGTACCAATATTTATGTGTTTAAATAATAAATAAATAAGTAGGATTTGAACCGTCGTCACTTCGCAATAATAATAAAACGCTTTTATTTTTCTTACTTAGTATCAATTCATATGAATACTCGTCAATCTGTAAACGAATAGTTTTACAGAAATTAGACACTAAATGTATTTGAAGACATTATTTCCAAAAATTATATTTGAAATAATCTCAGCGGTTGAATTCTTAATATCTTTTCTGTATTTGTCATGTATTTTTTCTTCCAGTGAAATAATTTATCCTCCAAATTCATTTAGTGAACATAGTGGTACACCAAGTGCACTATTGATTCGGGCACGTGATTATATTGTAGGTTTCATTTTGTAATCTATTCGTTTAAAAAGGTTAAAACCCTAGATGTTTATATTGGAATAATAAGAGTCATAGTAGAGATTATTTAATGTAACGATAATTTACATCACAAACTGACTCTATCTAGACAACCATTGGAAACAAGGAAACAATGGACTAGTGTTTTGTTCCAATATGATACGTACACCTTAGCATTAGACATCTATAACCCTGTTGAGAGTTGATCTCAAAACATATAGAATTCTGAGTTGGCCCATCATTATCTATCTTGATATGCAGTATTAGCTTGTATAGGTTTGTAATTCAGAAAACAGCTGAACATGGCCAAATAAAGACAAGAAGTCTTGACGATTTTTCTCGAAAATAAACATTATTTACTGTAGTATTATTTCATTTTTGTGGATATCCGCTTCTTGTACCACTTTTGAAACATAGTTTACATCAATCTACTTCTATGTTTAAATTCATAACTATAATATAACCTCGTCAACTGCACTTTTGAACAATTTAGTAGAGTTACATTTTTCTTTAGTTTCGGTTGTGTATTTAATCTATATTACTAGATGTAAAAATATCAGTTTCCTTGTCAACATCTAATTATAGTTATGTCCGTCAAATTGCTAGCGACTTTTAATTCTATCGATGATTACCTCTTATTGAATTGTTTGTTGCCAATAGGCACACTAAAAAAAATTCACCACGTTTGCTTCATAAACGCTCAGAATTGATCTAGGGCTAGTTATGAACCATTGTTCAAGTGAAAAAGATCGAGCGATATTTCTCTAGTCTATTTACTTCCTCGTTTCTTTATTTGATTACCCAGGGGGGGGGGTTCCATCGATCTGGAGTGTGTGTAGATGGCATATGTCTCTTTCCTTAGATTCCAAGTATTTTTTTTGTTTCATTATCTACTTTAATTACAGAGATTAACTTGGAAATCTATCCTTTTCACTTATCCTAATGAGCTAGTGGATGACACTCAAAAATAATATAATCTGATTGTGCCAGTTTACTTGTCTCATCAAGTACGCAAGCAAAATATCCACCTACCTATTCAGCGGTCAGTATAATTTGTTCGGTATTACGTCATATATGTAAAAGTAGAGTGTGTGCAAGTTAAAAGTGTTGAATCATAAATTTCGTCTCAACATTATTCTTCACTTATAGTGAGAAATAATAATACTGGATAAAATTGGTAATTTGGTTAATGATGTCGGGAATCTTCATCAACTTAGCAGCTTAAAATACTTGTTACTTATGTGTCTATTAAATGTCAACCACAAAGCACTATATTGTTTTGCATAATCATATAAAGCTTTTGTTGAGAAGTAACTTCAGTTGAACGTTTATTAACCAAGTACTGCTTTATACATAATTTATACTCACTACTGAGAAAGTTTTCATTGAATTGTATCGCTACAATATATCACATGAATTTGTCCAGTTATGAATGAATACGGTGGTCTTGAGTGCTGTTAGGGGTATGAGGGCATTTGTTATACTTTAACTTGGTTAATTATTCAGTAACTTGCTATCCTTAGACCGATTTTGAAAACAATTCTAATTATAGAATGAATCAAAGTACATCAAAGCACTTATTCTTATAAATAGTCGAACTAAAATAAATTATTATTCTAGCGTTCTATAGTTTGTATATATTATATGTATATCTCTATCGTTTCTTCTTAGATGGCTGTATTTCATCGAGGTGAACATTTAACTCGTAAAACTATTTCATGCATGACTAAGGTAGGTTAACTAGTAATTTTTATACTGTTAATTTTAACTCAATAGAAAATCTAATTAAAATATTGAATGAACTCGTTACAAAGCTTGAGTTTATGAAAAAACATATGCAAGTATAGAATAACAAATATAGCAGGACTTTGTCGTGAACAAGGTGATCTTAAGTACTGTTAATGATGTGTGGACGGTTAACACTTTCAGGTTGCCCACACCGTGGAAGGATACCTCCTCCTGATGGGCTTGATGAGGAAATTGGATTGCTACTGGTCTTAGAGATCAGGGAGGATAATTTTAGAGCACAAAAGACAACTGCTTAAGGCTGGTCATACCCACTCTTTTATGATTATTTTCTGATAGGTCATAACTTTAAAAACTTTCTTTAGCGATGGAAAATGGTGAGACAGTTTGAAGTGTACTTTTTACAAGGGCTAGCATTTCCTAACCCTGTCATTCTGTTGTAAGATGTTAGTGTCTCTATAGATGCTAGTTGTCTGAGCAGTATGCCGTACTGCTGTGACACCCCAGTACAACCGACGACATGACTTTTCTGTTGGATTATGAAATTTCTGTTTTTATCTTACCATTCTCCGACCAACTTACCGGGGATGGTCGGACTTTAAGGGACAAGTGTTTCATTCAATACTTTTTGATTAGATCATAGCGGAAGAAATCCCGAACCATCATGTCAAGGCAGCAGCTATGGTCAAGATTTAAATATGGGTTTAATACATCTAAACTATAACAATTCATTTTATTTATTCTACTAATATTTTTAATCGCCGTTCATTTCCATTATGCCATGAGACCCTTCCCTATTTCAATGGTCTGAAATTATTCATCTGTCTTAAATCAGCAATTTTTAATTTTTTGTTCCCAATTTAAATTCCATCACTTATTTCAGCACATAAATATCGGCACAAAGGGGCTCCAAAATATACATGCGCCACATACAGCAGTTACCATTAAATTTTTGTTTGGGCTGGGATATTGTGTAAGTGCTCGAACTGAAACAAGTGGTTTTCTTAGGGGGCTACGCCCCGGACTTTTGACTGAGAGATCTAATCCACAAAGCAATGGAGCAACATTACTAGATGCGATCGCATGGTAGTTAGTGACCAACAACAGTTTCATACATCATTTGTTCCCTTAGGATCCTAGAGCTCATGTACACTATTGGTTTGAGATCAGGTTTTCGCAACTCCGTAGGTGGACCCACCATACCTACTTACTTGGTTTAAGCGCCGGACATCCACTTTTTCTCCTCTCAGTTTCGTAAACAACACCACTGCTGTGTGAAGGCAGTGAGTAGGACTTCCCTGACAGTCGACTCACTTGAAAAGTATACTCGATGTTACTCTAGGCCGTCAGTTGTATTGATGTTAAAGTTATAACTTATCAAAACAATAAAATTAATAAATTACTATTTTAAAATGTTTTCTTTGCACGCCAATTCACTACTATGGGACTAAACCATAAGTACCACTGTGTAATTGGTTGTGTGTGTGTTTGGTTCTTTCTTCAAAAAGGGAACTAATCTAGGATATTAGACAGTTGGAAGTTTTAGACAGGAAACCCTATACCTACATGTCGTATTAGTTGGCACTTGCAAGGCGGTCGTGCGTACCTGTTATATTTAGGGAACTGATGCTCCTTGGCGCATTTGAATTGTCTTCACTAATATATTGCCCTGAAGCATGATTTCCTCATTGAATTCAAGTTCACTTTAATTTTCTATGTTTAATTAACCAGTTGTTTATGAAATAATTATATTTTCTTGTTGTAATATCTAGGTGCCTACTGTTGAAGCTACTGAAATACTGAAATCTTTAGCTTGTAAAATGTCAACTACTCAAAAAGGTTGTGCAAATCATTGGAAATTTTATCCGACCGATTATGATTTTATCAAAAAGTAACTATTTTATTATTCTGCTTTTTTTGTTTTATTCGTTTAATACTCGCCTCCTGTACGTCATCGAAGTTACATAATGCTTATAAAATACACGAGCCTTGCATAAATACCGAATGTACGTCAGTTGATTATCCACAATATATATGACTTTGCACAAATCTTATCTGTAGGGTCGCGTTGCCACAGGTCACGAGCATAATTATGAGAAATTAGGATGATGCAAAATGGGTCTGTGCTACTCATAAGTAACTCGTTTTTGTCGTACAATTTTTTCCCTTATATTTCATTGGTAATTGTAAGTTATCTGTGTTCCCCTGTTGATTGCGATATTTTTATTTATCCCGCCATATTGAACTGACCATCTTGTGCTTTCCTATACTAAGGATTGAATATTGCTACTGAATTTGTCTCCTTGAATATGAGCGTCTTAACTAAAGCTGATAATTGTTTTTTTCAGAACCACTGCTGGGGGATCCCACAATAGGACGAAACGGCCGTCTAGTGCTTTTAGGTTTTCCATGGTTGTCTAGCTTCAATTGACTCATGATTTCAACTATATAAAATTGCGATAAAAAAAGGTCTTATCAATAGTTAAACATTGGAAATAAGAGGTCAAATGTGGGTAAATAGACTTAGAATAGTCATCACAAAACATTAAAACATTACGTAATAAGATGTAAATAATTAGATAGTGAAGAATACAAACGGAAAGAGGCGGGAAATTACAAATAAATAACGGATGTGAAAATAATGCTAATAATAACAAAATTAAAAATAAAATTTAAAAAATAATAATATCACTTGTTAAGTTATATCCGGTCATGGAAGGGATATGGGGGTTACAAATTTCTTCTGTACACATAAATTGGGGTGAAATGTACGAATTCCTATGGCTTCAGCTGTATGAAGGAAACGAGAACGAACTCCGTTGGGAAATGATGGAGGTATACGATAGATCACTCGAAATGATTTCGATTTATCTACTTTATGACCACTATCAACTAGATGTGCCAATATAGAACTGCGTATTGTTTTTATCTGGCCCTTCCCAAACCATGCTGGAAGATATTCACCCATTCGTTGGTTAAGTTGTATAATAGTACGTCCGATATAGCTATCTCCACAGGAGCAGCTGAACTTCTAAATTCACATAGAGGAGGCCAACCCAGGTATAGCTGGTCGATTCGAGAAAGTCAACGCAAGATTAACTGTGTAATTTATAATTTCCGTTTGTATTCTTCACTATCTAATTATTTACATCTTATTACGTAATGATTTTAATGTTTTGTGATGACTATTCTAAGTCTATTTACCTACTTTTGACCTCCTATTTCTAAAGTTTAACAATTGGTAAGACTTTTGTTATTGTAATTTAATATTCCTACTACTATCAGTACACTTGTCTTCCCACTATCAAATTGTACTTTTAAGTATTATGTGCGTTAACGTATTCCATTTCATTATAATTAATCCACGTTATTCTAGGAACAGTAAAACATTGTTAATAAGTGAAATAAAAGCAGTATAAAATAGAATAACCCTTGTATTTAATCAAAGATGGAATCCAGGTGGAATCCAGGACGCGCGTTTCGTCCCATTCGAGACTCGTCAGCTGGATGTTTACGCAAGCAAAATATCTACAGTAATTCACTATGAAATAGTTTTTCCCACAATCTAAAAAATCGAAATATATTTTTATTACTAATATTTACTAGTTGCATAAATGCTACAACCTATAGGATTTCAATCATAGTCAGTATATATTCTTCACTAAGTGTGTATCCTTATTTTTTCTTTTTTAAAAAAAAGTTTTTCAAGCGTAAGTCAACTACATTCACAATCCTATTTTTCTTCCTTTTCTCTCTCTCTTTCTGTCTTAGATATCCTGATATCGTACAGCAACAACAAGTTGCTTGGGAAATTCGCATTCGTCAATTGTGCACACAGTTAAAACTAGAACATCTCGTATCGGGTATGCCTTCGTTTAATATAATATATACTTTACACATATACAGTTTTATTTACAATACGCAATATTTGCCCTAAGTATTAATCAACGTCATATTCGTCTAGTCGTTAACGTAGATCGAATTCTACTGATCACCTTCAACTGCTTAATATGCAGAAGTAGTGTTGATGATGTGGAATAGTCACTTTAACTAGTGGTCACACTGCAACTTGATTGATACAATCCGATCAGTGCTAAAAAGTAGATAAATATAACACTGGTTACTTCCAAGTAATTTTTCAGTACTAATATGTCAGTCCTACATAGAAACCATTTTCACTATGAATATAGCCCAGTAATGACGTCTCTGACGACTGAGTGACACAGATTTGAATATTACATGGGGCATTAACTTTATCAAGAATGCAGATAAACTTCGATAATGAGTCCCAAATAACACTAAACTGTGGTTAAGACCTTATAAATACTTAAAATTCATAGATAAAATGTAATGTAATTGTTAAGTGGATAGTGAGAATATATTCTTAATGGGTGCTTATGTACTGTTTCTTAATTAGCATTCACAACTCATCATAGGAATTACCGAAAAAATACTTTTAATTTGGAAATAAATTGATTTTACCTGTCTAGTTTACATGATTGTGTACTAGTTTCCCAGCTGCATTTTTCACTTAGAGGTACTGATCGGTCAGTCAAACTAGATTTGATTAGGCCAAAATTCACACCTATTGTTTATGGATGTAGTAGTGTTGTAGTATGTTACTAATTGGCCAAGTACACGTTCATGTATTTAACTTCTAGCCACGTTATTTGTATGAGAGTTAGTGCTACTACCTACGTGTTCAGACTGAAATAAAACGGTTTGCGTTCGAACCTTCAACTTGTTGATTGAAAACTGAATGGTTTGACCCGACCCGTTCATGTAAATAATTGATTTTGTATTGGTTTGTGTTTTTATAAGGTGTTTTGGTATCAATGTTAGTCACCATTATGCCATTTACTCTCCAACTGTCTTGTCGCTAGCTCTTTGTTGTACATATTTTTCATTTATATAGTGAGGTTTAATAGCATGTTCATTTTACATCACACTCTGCTTTATGTAATTTTTATTACTTTTCTATTTTAAGATGGAGTCCGACGTAAACGTAATCCTGGACAACACTCCGGTGAAAGTGGTTCAGACTCTGACACTGGCTTCAAATCACTTGTTTCAGGTGTACATATTTCAACTCCAAGTAAAAACACAAATCGTAAACGTTTACGTCAATCAAGTGTATGTCATACAACAGATACTGAGAAAGATGCCACTAATTCATTAAAATCACCTGATCGGAAACGTGTACGAACTCAAAGTCTTTCATCGAGTTATTCCTCTGGTTTGTCATCTCCTCATTCTACTACTACTACTACTACAAAATTATCTTATCTTCAAACAGATGTTGTATCATCAAAGTTTTGTACACCTATTAGTCCACCACCTGTTAAAATAAATTCTCCGAAACTAAAAGTAAATAGTACACCTATTTCTTCAGAGCCTCCTGATAATTCATCAACTTCATTAGTATCAAGTAAGTTATAAATATATATATATATATATATATCCTTATAGTTCAAATAGTCCAAGTGTTTGCACAGGATATTAGCTATCTGAACTCAGTAGCTCAGTTAATAACGAATTAGATGTTCAAATCGAAAGATACTGAGTTTAAGTCTCAGTGAAATGTCCCAAATAGGACAAAAAAAGGCGTCCTGGACTCCGATGCTAGCCACTACTTAACTTTATCAAAATCTAAACCAATTGTTGTATTGTTAATAAGTTCAATTAATTATTGTTTTATCTATGATATACTATTTCTCCTTTTACCCTTACTGATTGTAATGGATGGCTTAAGGTGAAATGAGGATTTTCATCGTTTAACTTTCTATTCAGTGTGAATAATTGAATTGTTTGAATTATTCAACTACTTTTTTAGATTAATGGTATATCACATTCTAGTAATTTAGAATATGTTTGTAGTGAATTAGCTTCCAGATAATTCCTTAGACTTATGTCACCCTGATAACCATTATTAAATAAATCTAAACGGTTTATAAATTCAGAAGACAACACGAAGCCCCAACTACAATTTATTAATGAATAATAGCACAGATCACTAAGTTACAAACACACCAAGCAAATTCGATCAGAAAAGCTAATGCGCGTATGCGTGTAGGCTGTTACATGTAGTCATGCCTACATGTTCATGCACACGTGATAATAACAGTAACACAAAGAAATGGATAAATTGTCACTCTTCGAACAACACTGTCTGTTAAATAAGTTAATCGAAGGGCTTGACAAAATAAACCGTAAGCAAACTTAAATGGAGTGAAGTGCTATATGTTACTGTAAGTACTCCGCTAAAACATTTATTAATTTTTGTTCGATTCGTTTTCGTCATTTTTTAAAAATCTCAGATTCAGTTAGTAATCAGACAGTTGCTTGCAAACTGGAACCTGATGCTCCGGAGGATCCTAATCCTGGTATCTCTGCTGCTGCTGCAGCTCGTGTTTCTGATTCAGAAATGGATGAAATCAAGCCCAAACTTTCACCACCATCTCATGATTTATCTCAGTCAGCTATCATAGATAACTGTCACAATGATATCAATGGTAATACTGAATTATCTAGTCAAACAGACCTTGTTGGTAATCGTATTGATTCACCGTGTACACCTTCACAATATATTAATAATACTATTATGGACAATAACAACAATGATTTAAATTTTGATAATAACAATGAAATGCCAGAATTATTAATGAATAATTCAATTAATTTTGTAAAAAATGTTTTAAATACTCAACCAATTGTAGCATTGTCAGCATTAACAAAAATCTATCAGGTTAGAAATACTGTTTTTCTCCTTGATTCAATTGTTTCCGAATACTTCTTTTTCGCTGCTTCCTTTTATTCTTTTCTGTAGTATATACAGCTTCCCTCTTATCTTACTTCTTACTAAAGAGGATTATATCAATTTAAGGTATTATAATTAACAGTATTCTTAAGTAAAATCTTTCTTTGTTGTAGCTAAGGTGAAATGTACACATATGTAAAATGTTAAATATTAACCAGTTCCAGCTTTAAAATGTTTGAATACCACACAACCTAGTTTTCTGTTAAATAATGCAGATTAAAAATATCAACGAAACACGACTTTCTTTGATGTTATCGAATAAGTATAAATCCTGAGTTGAAGCCATTTTATCGGTTAAGAGTAATAAATGAATTTGCATGATACAATGATCACACAATTATAAAAATGTCTAAATTGTGAATTGAGTGAGAAGCCTTGATGATACTTTGAAAGTAGTAGTAGAGCTCATGTACCTGAAAAGTTATGGGAGTCTCTGTGACAGTGTTGCAGACGAGCTCAATCCGTGCATAGTACGGGATAAATTTCCATATACGATTCTTAACCAGCTTTATAACGATAAAGTCATTTGCATGTCTTTAATCAGATGTGCGATTCAATAATATAAACATTTTTGTCATTCGCCATTGAGATTCAATCTATTTAAACTGAGGTTGTCAGATATTCGTTATCGCCTAACGATTTCTAATATTCGACGGCTGAATCGTGTAAGTCACAATGGGATGGAGTGCGAAATTTTTACTGCTAATTATTCAATACGTGTTAACATATTGAAACGCTTTTTTCAATGATTAGGTTACACTTTGTATATTTTGTCCCAGTGGTCGGACATTATTTACCGATTTTGGTGTAGTTCTAAAAGAAGGTGATCAATATATAACATAATGTAGTGTGAATGATTATTTGTATTATGTTAAGAATTGATGACTTATCGCAACTCTGTTCATTGGGGCGTGCAATTAGATAGCTTTAAACGTTATCTGTCATACTTCAAAGTAGAAACCAATGACCACTATGGTCGAATATTTGTCAACCGTCGTTGTCGTCAGTACTGTTCTTTCTATTTTCACAAAAATCTACTTAAGTCTTCATTGTCATTTGGAAGCTACTTGCACTAGATCTTCACTAAATTCCAACCTTTTTTTGTATTGATAACATATATCCAAACATGTAATGATATCCAATGAAATACTGTCTTTAAAACACTTATGGTATTAATAATTTTCTTCCTCACCATGTGTATTCCACAGTAAAAGAGCATATCAGTGTTAAATAGCCACTGATTTGTAGCTTAAATATTATAGTTGTATGCCTAATCTGGAGTACGTGTAATCATTATTGTTCTTTCTTCAAAATGTTTACCTAACTTATTTGTTTGTTTAACTCAGATGAAACACAATTACTGGTTTAAATTGTCATATTTACAAAAATTAGCTCATGTTTAAACAAATATACAAATATCCAAGAATTAAAATAAGATTAAATGTTTATATAACACCGCTATACATTTTGTTTTAAATGTTCTTTTAACTTAATGTAACTTGTTTGAAACAATCTTCAGATCTAATTTACTTATGTATCATTGAATACAGTTTCACAAATTTATTAACTTATCTACCTTATATACTTGAATCTACTGTACTGGTGAACTGGTTAGTTTGTTTGGCAAGGTTTTCTTATGTGATACAACTCATCATGGGTTAAATCTTAAATTGATGCAAATGTAGGCGTCAGAATTAGACCAAATAGAGAATTGAATTATATAGAGAGTTAAAAATTATTCTACAAAGTCATTAAAATTTGTGTCTCTGTTGTTGACGAGTTTTAAGCATTATTTATTAAAAATAAAAACTTCACAAACAGCTTAGTTAAATGATTGGAATCAGAATCATATTAAATAATTATACTAGTGTTGAGAATTAATAGCATTTTGGTGAATGTATCTGTCTCTTATTGTACACCGTCAATCTCCGTTGTTCACCGTCATTTTGTTGTAGAAAAATACACTTTGTTATATACTTAACCCATGATCACTATACACACAGTCATAATTTTACTGAATAGGTGAATAGCAATTTAGCATTCTTTGTGTACATTAAACTATCTTCCTCAACCAGTTTATCACTCTACTTTTCTTTATAGACACTAAATGTAAGATACTGAAGTATGTATCAGTATGAACATCGTGCGGTGACGAAAATTACTCGTGTCGTTTTATACAGAAAAACTGTCTCTGTCATATCTATGAACTGGATTCGTTTCAACCTCATTAATTGCCTACTGCAGCATTTTTACAAATCAATTAATTAAGTTATAATTGCAATTTGATGAGATTGTTTTTTGCGAAATGATATAATACTGAATCATTTATAATTTATAGTTTACATCAAGGACTGGCCCATAGTTAAACAACCAATAACGATAAAAAAGCACGGAACATCTCATCTACGGATCCCATCGGTCACCTCGCAGTGAACACTTAATTATCTAGACCCTTTCGTCTACATCCGGTGGTTTACATTTCTAACTTCAATCCAGTGCTTCATGCTGTTCAATAGTTATCTAACTAGTGTCAGTCCGTGATGTAAACTCTGAAAGTCAGTAATATCCCTAAATCTTACAATATATATGCATATTTATTTATTTCAGCAACAGTTAGGTAATTTTGATGCAAATTTCTATTCTACACTTTGGAAGAATAGTCCACCACCTCCTCCAGGCTCTGAAAGTGAACGTGAATTGTTGAAAACGTATCTTTTGAAAGTTTTACATACAATTGATGCACGTCAATTAACAGTTTGTTGGCCAACTGTACCAACAGCACTTGAAGAAGAACCATTATTTGTAATAAAAGTAGCTGGTCCAGAATGTGGAGCTGTCAGTGAATCAATAGCACAAGTAAAGTGTTGTGTCAATCCGTACTTTACATTCTTGCTTTATTTTTTACTGTCATATATATATATATATATAGCCTTAAGATGAAAGTCGAAAAGTAACAAGTGATCCATACTAAGGAACAAATTTGAGGATAGTCTTTTGAGAGCCTTTGATGCAATCTTTTCTATTAAATTTCAACTACTCTCTGAACATTAAAGACTTCATCCACTCTCGGATTCGAAATGCCAAGAAAAGAACAAGAGGAAAAGTGAACAGACAGCTCAACATTTATTCATGACGCATTTACATTCAATGAGGAAAACAATTTACAACAATTAGAAAAATAGTAACACAGACCCATAACGTTTGTACTATTGGAGGTTCTGTAATATAAACAATGCTGAAGGTGATTGACCTTTATATTTTTCTTCTGATCTCTCTTGATCTTCTCATGTTTTCCGTTTGATTTATATAAAGAGGCTGCATGCTCTTGACCTTATTCAACATTTTTACGATTTGTAATTTATTATATATTACCTATTATCTTTAATATTCCACGTTATTCTTTCCTGGGCTTTTGAGAAGAAATTTTGCTATATTGCAGAGTGATGACGGCAGTTAGCAGCATGTGTGGTAAATCTTTTGAGTTCATTATGAATATGGTTGTGGATAGAAATTAAAAATCTTGTAAACTAGCAAATGTAATCTTAACTGATACTAACCGTTAACTTCATTCACATATTTCTACTTGTATATCTTCTGGTAGAACGAGTTGCCATGCACCCAAGCAAAGGTATAAAGGCTCTACAATACCTTATCTAACAAATTAACTATACGACGAAAAGGTTGTTAGAGTTGACCCTAGTCAATAACTTGTATTCTTGAACATGTTGCTAATTAAAAGTTGTGTAGGTTCTCATCTTCTCAAAAAATTACCAGATAATTAAGTTGTTTGTTTCATGTATAAATGTGTTATCCAGTTATCGATTATTTTTTCTGTTCTTTTTTGTTAAGGAAACTTGTGTAAATACTTTGTTCCAAGAACTTCATATTTCAATAAACATATAATATTGAACAAGACCATTAATAGTATTGCTACTACTACTTATGATAATAAGCCAGTCTGATGATAAAAACAAAAATTTGACTTAATAAGACTTCGAATGGATTGCACAGTTCTTGTGGTGAGGAAACAACATCTCAGTGCATGTCTGTAACGTACAGTACACAGATAGATGTATAAACATTTTCCGAACGTTTTATTTAATTACAGTTAATATTCAAGGATTATTATCACCAACCTACTATGTATCTAAATTTATATAAAAATCCGCATCAAACACTATGGTTACTTCATTTTTGAGTGGTTTGTTGAGTTGTTTTATTTTCATTTTTATCCTCGGAATATTGCTTTTATCTACTGAGTTCTACGTATCTTTTTTGATGGTTAAGGATTTTACTAGTGTGGGAAATATTTACTATTTCTAAATCCTTTCTGTTGTGAAAAGGCAGTGTTGCTACACGTGCTGATTTCTTGAAGGAAACACACTACTGCTATTACACTATTATCCCGACTCCACACCCCGACTTTGAATTTGCTGCTTTTAATCGCACGGTTCATCAACCGACTTGTCTTAAATGGTAGTATACATCTATATATACCAAATATAGTTTCTTATATTCGACTTTGAACCACATTCTTTTGTGTTAAGGCTAACAACACCGCTCGTTGACTCAAATCAGAACAGGTTGAAGAGTTTGAATCTTCTAGGGGTTACTGAAACAAATAGACACTTCTTTTCATATGAATTGGTTTGCTATAAGTTAATTCATGAACTGATTGGTGATTCTAAATTGTCAAATATTCTTCATAATTGAGAAGTTAATTCAATAAGTTAATACCGTGTGATTCTTCTAATTTAAATCCATCCATTCTTTTGAAAAATAGGAATTTGTCAGTTAAATATTTATTCCTAAGTAATGCCATTATTAAAAACTTTTTTCTCATAAAAATCATATTTCTAGTTTCGTGATATAATCTTAGCACTTTATGAATCTTTGCCAAGTTTCAAAATGAAAGATTTACAAGAAAAATGTCCGGTCTTTCCTCCAAAAGGCATGTCTGATAAAGCTATGCGAACATTCATTAAAGTAAGTCGCAGTATATTACGATTGTATTTTTATGATTTAGGTTATATCCTTCTTGACTTTGTAACTCTTCTTTTATTCAATTACAATATTTTCATTTTCATTCCATGATAATTTTCTTTTCGTTTGTACAAAACTCGGAACTAATTATGTGAAACTGATAACTAGGATCAGATCGTCTCCTCTATGAATTCAGGTAAAAACTACGCTTAGGATATAGGAATTTTAGAATCTAACACTTTCATTTATCACTTGTAAGTCTAATGATGATTATTATTTTTCGGACAATAAGTGGGTTTCTGTATGATACTGTTTGAACCTGTGCCTTTCATATATATATATATTTATGCTTACTACTGAAATATTTACTAGTAGGCTAATAATTCCAACTAAACTTCAGCGGTTCTCACAACTCAATAACCTTAATCGTTTGTTTGTCTATACGCTAGTTCCTTATAGGAATTTTTTAAAATCAGTGTACAATAATTAGTTAACAGAAGATTCTCCTTTAGAATTTAGTAAAATTCGGAAATCTATCGGACTTATAGGAAGAACGGGAGAGGAGTAACTGTGAATCCAGTTACACTGTAAGACAAACATATTAAGAAAAAAAAAGTAACTTAGTCGGTTCTGTTTACAATCCCTTCTGACTTTGATTGACAAGCGTCTCTTTCAATGTTGATGGCTGATAGTACTAGCTAGTTGCAGTTTGACTACTTTTCTTTCGTTTGTAAATTAGTTATTTAAATACAGTTTCTTATATTCTATACCACTTATGTTTAAAAATACAATTGAATTTCGTATTATTTTTGTTGTATTCTTCATCAAGCAATACTGCATATTCAGACATGGGAGATACTTTCTACGTTGTACTGTTTCTGACGATTAATTTTTCTAAATAATCACTTAGTGAGTTACTCTATTTTCCTATGAAGTTTCTTTATACATACACACACACTATATATAAATATATATATATCATTATGTTATCCATCCAATCATTTTCCCATATATATTGGTTTGAGATTCTAGGTTAAAATAGTACTATCTAAATGAATCAATATTATAGTCATCGGTTTTAACTCTCATTATTATTGTGTTATTCTGTCCGATTTAGTTGCTTATACACACCTAGCCTCTTGTCATTCAGCAAACTGAATTACGATATAGATCACACGGGAAATTTTATCGTGTATAATATTATACACTACTTTTGAGTATATATTATCTATCAAATGTATCCTAACTATGACATATGAATGTTGATTTTGGTTTGGTGAATAATACTTATAACAGTCCGTTTACTTTTCCATCGGTTATTTATCACATAGTTTTGTAACAGCGTTTGAGCCGTTCATATTGTCAGTAGACAGAGGTTTTCAAAATAATAACAACGTCATTTTAGGACTTTCCTATCAATAAAACGAGGTGTTTTTACATGTTACAATATATTTCTCAACATAATTCGTATTCATCTTTGTTAATTTCTTATCGCTGTGTTAATTTGTCCTAGTGAATTGTGTCGATACATAATTCCTATCTGGTTCCATATTATTTTATGTTTGATGATCTGACTGTTACTATAGCAGAATGATCTTATCGACAAAGCATATTTTATTGAACATTCGCAATATTAACTGACGGTTTCAGTAATTAACTGTAAACCTGTATTACAAATTAGTTAATAGTAGGAAGTACATAATAGCAACCGTATTCGTTTGTCACAATGTCATACATATTTTGTACAGAGATTTTGGTTGATACTATTTGTTTATTTGATGCTTTTATTTATTTAGTTTTGTTTTAATTTTTACCCGCGCACTTTAAATTTTTCTCCCCTGTTCTTCATTTCCAGGAAGAATTCAAATGGGTTATTATCACTTTACATATTACTTACCTTTTGTGTGTCATATCAACACAGTTTGTATATTATAACTTTCTTTCTTTTTTTTTCTGTGAATACTTTGAATTTTGCAATAAATTTATTGCATTGTGTATAAAATGAAATACAGTTTATTGTTTGGATTCAATATTTTTGTTATACATCTAGTAGGTGGGAAAATAAATTTCGTAGGAATCCGCTGAAAGTAATTGGATTTAGGAAGAGATAAATTTCAGATCAAAATACGACTATGTAGGATTTCTTTGAGTTAAAGAAGTTACTTCCATGAATGAAGAATGCAATATATATATATATATATATATATATATCGCAAGACGATAGTACGAAGAGGTCAGGGAGCGTTAACTTAGACTGATTATAAGTCAATGCAATGATCGTGGGCATACGAAGTAATAGAGATCTTAACAGAAATGGTGGCAAGTAACGACCGACGACTCTGGACTTATTAAGTAGAAAGTCATTAAGTCTAACTGTTAATGCAGCTATCCAAAATAGATCGGAATATGATCTAATCAACTCGGAATACTGAAACAATGAGTGGTACAATTCAACTGTTCTCCATATACTGATTTCCGAAACAATCAGAATGAGAGATTGAGATAAGCCACTCACTCTTAGTGAATTTGTAAGGTTCATGTCTAATTGAAAAAGAGGAACAGTACTTGGTATTGAAAAATTTACCCCGGAGGTCTTTCAATGATGGTAGTCCATTTTTAGCAGTAATATTGATTGTGATATTAGCTATAATCTGGGGACTCGGCATGATCCCATCTGACCTCTCAATGACTGGTCGTCCTAATTTATAAAAAGGAGCAGGAATTCACATGTGATAATTGAATGCGTTCGCTTAATATAATATCTTAATAACAATCTGTCTCCGAACTATGGTTTGCCAATAATAAACTAGAAAAACCCATTCACGTTTCAGAAGTGGAAGTACCCATTAAATATTCGCAGTTGTTATATCCCGAAAAGAATTATGAATGGTAACTTTTGAGAACTATTTATGAACCAATATGATACATATACTTTTATTGTATAATTATTAACTAACTAAACTACTCATGTTCCTCTCATTATAAGCTTTATTTTGACCCATAGACTATTACTATAAGATTCACCGCTCGTAAGTTATCCTCAGTCTATCACTTAATATCTCCTTTATTCACAGCCAAGTTTGGCTGAATCTTGTACAAATGTTTTTTTCTATTTTATGGTACGATGTGGTCTGTCTGTTTGGTATATAAGCCCAGTATGTTTGAAATAAATGGTTCGTATTGCAGAGACTGTTGTTGGTGTCTTGGACTTAACTGACTCGGTTGGGCAGAAAGCAGGGCCGATTATTACTTTAGACTGGTCGTACGGGTTTCGTGTGTCATTCTTCCGATCAATAAATCACTGCTCTCTAATAGGCGGGTACAAGTTATAACACTTGTCAAGCGAATGCTCTTAAATTCATGTTGCTATTCACACGTGGATTGGACTTGGTATTTGTCTATTCAAATCCAAGTATGCTATCTACTAAGATATCGAGTTCGAATGCTCTCTATCTTGTCTTTAAGACTATTGCAGTTTTAACTCAGACCGAATAAACGTCCACAAATTAGTTGTTTAAGCAATCCAAAAATCGTTATTGAATATCTAAATTGGGAACCGTTTAAATGCTTTTTTCTAGTTAACGGTCTTTTATTATTATTATTATTTCATGCGGTAAGGTTGTTAACCTCACTTCCAACTGATACGAGTTTGGGACCAGTAGAACTTTAAAAGGGCTCTTAGTAGAGCTATTTAAATTCAAAGGAATCATTAAAGTAGTGAAACCACATACCAGGCTTATTTACCTAATTTGGCTCGATGTTTTTCTTTCCTAAATTAAATTTCATGACTATTAATCAGTAATAAAATAGAGTTATTTAATATTTATATATACTTAAAATCATGAGTCAATTGAAGCTAGACCACCATGGAAAACCTGGAACTGCTGGACGGCCGTTTTGCCCTATTATGGGACTACTCAGCAGTGCTCATTCACGACTTCGCCTCACGAGATTCCAATCCACGAACTACCAGTCTCGAACCAGAGCACTTAACCGATAGACCACTGAGCTGGCTGGCATCCAACGGTGTTAATGTCTTACTTCAATTAATCCACGAAGTTGAGCAACCATTTCACCAATTATCTTTAATGAGTTGATATCTCCCAACACAAAACCCTCTTAATTAATATTTGTTTAAAATAATTTCGCTTCCTGTATTGGTTATTATAAAGAGTTGTCATTATTAATATTTGTAGTAGTAATAGTATTTCTATGAATTTTACAGTTGATCGAACAATTTGACAGCTTCATTCTTGTGAAACCAAAAAATTTATTTATAATATAAAATTTTCCTAGTTCCGTTTTTCAAAACATTTTTTTTTCTACTGTTATTATTTTAATCAAAGAGATTTTCTATTTCATGTTAATCAATGCTTAACCCCCTTTCCATACATACACAAATCATATAAAGTTAAAATTTATTATCCCTTTAATGGTTTTGATTTGGTACTATAGTAATAATTTGCTTATTATTATTATTATTCTGTCAGTTTATAAATCCATGTAATTCACCTCTCCTCCTAAATCCTTCCCATTGTGTGTGTGTGTGTGTATAAATTGTGTATATTTCATGTCATTTTGAGCATACTTGTTTTGTTTTTCTTTTTTTTTCCAATATAAGTATGTATTGAAGTGGAACGTATACTGCCAAGTTAATGATAATGGTAACAATATTAGTGGTACTTGTCGGAAGTTCGGTGATTATCTTGTTTTAAATTTTTTGCGCGTGATTGAATTTTTCGCAGTATATTTAATTCTAGGTGGAAAAAAAGTTCAATTATAATAACAATATTAAAGTAGTATATGTTAATTAATTAATAAAAATCCATATATAAATCCACTTTATTATTGTTAATAATATTAAAAGGTATAAAATTCAATGGTATCCATTTCATTGTACAATAATTTTGTTTGTTTTTTTTCTATTTATAACATGATGGTTGTTATTAGTTATGTATATAATCTGAAAGTGAAGGGGGGGGGTAAGTATTTTTCCTTTTTTTTCTTTAATTTATTTATAATTATTCGTGACAGTGACTGTTTTTTGTTTTTTTTAAAAAATTTTTTTTCTACAAAATGAAACACACAAAAAAGAAAAATATTGAGGTTTTTTTGGTTTTTTTTTGGAAAAAAAAACGACAACAACAACAATATTTTGATATAAAAAATTGAACTTCCGTTAAATGACAAATAGCGATACCAGTTTTTTGGGGGTTTTATAGAATTAAATTGTAGATTATTATTTTTCTTTTTTTTTAAACAGAATATTATTTTTAATTATTATTGTTGCTAGGTGATTTAATTCTTATATTCATGTAAATATAATTATATATAAGGTATTGGTTTTAGTGATAGTCTATTTAAACGTTTATCATTGAAAGGGAGGTTTCTCACTTTGAACTAAGAGGATTTCCGTTATACTAATTACTTATGAGTTCTAAGATAAGATAAATGCTTTTTATGTAAATATTTTGTTGTAACGGTCGCGTTTTTATTGTCTTTATGAATGGGACGTTAATTTACCCTAGAAGAATATCTACACTAGATTCTTTCCCGAGGGTTGGCAAAGCAAAGACAGCATTCCTACTGTTGAAGAACATATGGAACTCAAAATAACTGTCAGCTAGTTTCAAAGTGAGAATCTTCAATACGAACGTCAAGACAGTTCTACTGTACGAAGCTGAAACGTGGAGAATCCATTATCAAGAAGGTACTAGTATTTATAAACAGTTGTTTACGCAAGATACTCAACATTCACTGACTGGATTCTATCAACAACAGCGTTTTATGGGAGAGGACGAACCAGCTTCCAGCTGAAGAGGAAATTAGGAAAAGACATTGTAAGTGGATTAGACATACATTAAGGAAATTACCAAACTGCATCACGAG